TTCTGAACTCTTAGAAACCTTTACATGCATAAAACAGTTAATCTTTTTATGGATACTAATCATAGTTTAACATATGGGTTTCCTCTGGGTGCATTTAAAATCAAATGGTGTATTCACTGGCTGGAGGGTCCATGAAAGACCGGCGGTCACATGTTGGTGGAGCTGAACAGCCATCGATACCATCATCAATACCTGCCTGTGCTATTTATATGAAGCCTGGGCTCCATTACTGCCCACATGAAGACATTTTAAATATGTATCTGCACCATATCTTCACCACAGAGCGTTTCCAAATGAGAACCATATAATGGGGGAATGTTACTTCTGCTTAGTTTCGAAGCAAATCTGCAGTCTTTAAAAATAGAAATCTCCCCACAGCCTCTGGCTGCAGCAGTTAGATGTCCTGGGTCATTTTAAGCCACAGAAACAAATCAGTGAGACTCACGATGAATGAGCTATAGAATCACAGGAAGAGCACACAAACAGGCTTTTTTTCAGAGCGCATTACAGCAATTTACAACGATTCACTCCAGGCTCCAACTTAACTTGTTCTCTTCCTTCATTCAAGCACGACTAGTAGTAGGTAGTTTATGATATAAATAATAAGATCCAACTCCCTGCAGCAGGAGTTAACCAAACTAATTGGGTTACAATGAGTCAGTATGACGCTGCTCGGTTCATTCGGTCGAGCTGTGCAGGAATAACAATAACAGGAACATGAGTTTCTGCAGCTAAAATAGAACCCAGCACACACAACCTGTGAGCAGAGACCTACAGGACAGGTTACTGGTGAATCTGCATCCCCATTTTAACTGGAACTGTTTTTAAAGCAGAGAAGACTGTTAATGTAACACAGCTAAACCTTTTCTAGGAGTGATGTAGTAACATTGGATGCTTGAAGAGAGCAAAACAAACATATCTTATAAGTAGCTTCATTATCTTATAACCTACTGCAGAGTTATTTTTGCTTGAATTTACAACCCTTTCGGTATTTATTTATGCATTTTCCATCTTAATTTCATTCTCTGTAATTTTACTCTGAAATGCACCATTTATGCTTTTGGTGTACAATACTGATTTGCTGTTTTATTTCAGCTCTGGCTTCACTTGAACAAACACGTAAAGCGTTAAAGGAAATTATGACATCCTTTTTTGACTTAGGTGATCGTTTTTAATAAAGGTTATCCACATTTATGCATGAAAGCATGTGGGCTTGAACTGTTATCTGTTTGTTTTTAATAAACTCTAACAAAGTTAATCAAAGTGCATGCCTTTCGGTGATAGAACTGTAGATTAAAAATAGTGAGAATTTGCTGTTTTTTAACATTTAATGACAAATATATATATATATATATTTTTTTTTTAAGGGCCTTCTGTGTTTGATCAGGTGATCACTATTGGAGCTAAACTATTTTTTAAAGGAAGAATCAAAGATCACTTAGGAGAGTCATTGTGAATGTGATTTGAATTTGTTTCCAGGTATTTTTCTGTGAAATATGTTGCATAAAATATTTTAGGTCTACTTTATTTCATCCTAGTGCTGTTTTTATAGTGTAATTGTTTGTGTATCTTATTGTTTTTTTAGTGCAATATATATATATATATATATATATATATATATATATATATATATATATATATATATATATATATATATATATATATATATATATATATATATATATATATATATATATATATATATATATATATATATATATATATATATATATATATTCTAATGTGTTTTATTGTATTTTGATGTGATTTACATGTCTAATTTTAATTTTCCCTAGAAAACTAACTTTGTGTGAGCTAATGGCAATCCGAATAAAGAATAAATACAGAAAATTTAGACAAGCATTTGATTCATTTGGTTATGTGTCCTCTTTTTCAGATAATTTAAGTTTATTTTGTTGCTTTTTATTTAAGGGTTTTTAATTAAGATTAGATCAGATAATGAGGATATGATAATTTTAACATTCACACTGTAGAAAATTATCTAAAGCCTTATTTGTTAAAGCAAGTATGAAAAATCCTCATCTAACCCTAAACCAATGAAAGTTTTGATGCAAACATCTCTCTCTTGTAAAAAAACAACAACAGAAACTGTAAGAGAACAAAATAGCAAAGAAGCCAAATTCTAAAATTGAATAAACAGGGACTGTTTATAAAAACAGTGCAGGCACCTCCTCATCCTCCAACTTCATATCTCTCTGTCTGCAGATCTAAAATCAGGCAGCTGAGATGAAAAACTGAGGAAAATGTGTTTGAGAAAGTCTGACTCAGCGTCCTTCAGGTTCTATGAGGAGTTGCATAATGTTGGAGAAAAAACAGAATCAGCGCCAACACTCAGCACTTTGGATCCAAACTAATTCCCCAACTGTGAGGCACAGAACACCTGCCCTCTGCAAACCTCATCATTGCCAGCAGAGCCTGCTGATTCACCTGCTTGTTCTTGATTAATCCAAACAAACCATTTGTTTGAGTAGAGAAGTGAATTTAAAAACAATCCAACTGATGTATTATGTGAAGTGGCCTTCACATAATACATCAGGAAACAGGAACTAGATAAGGTCTGAGCATCATCTGAGCTGGAAGTAAACACAGATTACAGCACATGGTTCCTCCTTTCACTCAATTAGATATCCATTACAGGTCGACTTCATAAAACAGCCAAATAAATGAAGCCACACCCCATTTTTTACTGTAAATCTGGAGATTTCTGCATCTCTTCGTGATTTAATTCACCACAAATACAATGTTTAATGTATTCACCACGAATATATTGAAAATTAACTGCTTATATATATTTTTGGACTGATTTATTAGTGGTTTTGACATAATTCAAACCGTTTATCACATCTGTGCTTCTGATTGTAGTTTTTTTGGTCTTTGGTCTTTTGTTCCTATTTGAAGTCATTTTTTCATTTTTCTATTTCTGTTGTGGAAATTTGTTAAGGATAATTTTACTTCTCTTTGTGATTGTGTTCATTTTAAGTTCTTTAGTTCATTTCCTTTTTTTTTTCTTTTTTTAATCCCGATGTCTGTACTCTGGCTCAGGCTTTGATATTTTCAGTAAAAGATCAAAGTGACTCAGATAAAAGTGATGAACTAGAGTTCCTCTGAATGAACAGTATAAAAAACCTGCCTGACTAGTTTTCATTTCTCACACAACAGGAAAACAGAATAAGCTGTGTAAATTAAACCATCCGGTTAATTTTCCCGTCATTTTAAATTATAGCATCCTTATTTGAAGTCTTTTTAAGGCAGTTTTGTGCCACATTTTACTCGTTAGCTGTCTGCTTTCTTCAGTTTCTGTATTTTGTTCCTATTGTGAATCTTCTTCTTGGAGTCTCTGAGCTGTTTTGAGTCAAGAAGTTTTCCAGCATTTTGGATTTTAAAGGGTGTAATGAAACTCTGATTGTTTTGCAGTTGTTTTGAATCATTTGCACCTTTTATTAGCTATTTTTTTGGCCATTTTCAGTCCAGTTTAGCTGTTTTAAGTCAGAACAGACTTCCTTACAGATCAAAGTTTAGTCAAACTTAATCTTTTATCAGTCTCTTTGCAAGTGTCTTAAATATCTTTATATTTGAGTGTATTTTCTGGTGTGTTAAACCCTACAGGGATTAATTGTTTAGTCTTTCTGTGTTTTGAATCTCCTTATTGTCAACATGATTTTCTTTAAGTTCAGGATAAGTACTTGTAGGGATTTTTTCTTCTACTGGTGTTTTGAAATTGTTTTCTGTCTCTTTAAGCCACTTTCCCACTTAAAACCCCTGTTTTTTTTAAACTGGGTTGACCAGCTAACAATTGGCTTTTGGCTCTTTTCCCATTTTAACAAAAAGCAGAGTGTGAACCCCAGCTGGCAAGCTGCATGGCCACTGCCCCCACCACTGCATGTCTGGGTAACGTTAATGATGTCAACAGTGAGACGGAAATCAGGGAAGTAAATAATGGAGAGCAACATGGACCGGAGCCAGAAAGTAGTCAGTATTCTTTATTATTTTGCTCTTTTATCCGTCAGAATCCCTCTTACCAGTGCTGCGCCATGTTTAACAAATGTAAACAGAGTTGTTTCAGCTTCTTAGATCTGAAGCGGCTGCTGTGTGTTGATATCGGTACGTTGAATTTGAGTTGAATTTAGCGAGACAACCCCGGTCTGGTGTTCACACTGCATGCAGATCAGAACCAAGGGGATTTTGATGCAGGTCGCTCGCCAAGTCGTTTGACCCGGGTAGACACGGCCAGTGTGAAAGGGGTATTAGAGTGTGTCTGGTGGATCTGAATCTGATTTAGGCTTTCTAAGCATGTTTCTAGGGGTTTGTGGTTGTTTTCAGGATTTAATCATTGTACTGTTTGTGTTTTGTATATGTTTTCTCATTCTTTTAACATTTCTTATCTGATTCTTTTGCTGGTTGTTGGTAGTCTTATTTCTGGTGAACTGTGGTTGGATGCAGACAATCTTTTTTGACCGTCTTCTTTTTTAATCACTCACTGATTGTTTAATGTGTTTTTAGTGTGTTTGTACATGTTTTCTTTCATGACTGATTTTCCTTCCTTATAATCACTTGAGATTGTAGGTTTTTAATTTTCTCCTTCTAATTTGTTAGCATGTCTTTACCACTTTATTAGTAAGAAGCTCTCTGACCCTTTAGGTGACTTTTTTGCAAAATTATTTCAAATTGCACAGGTAAAATAGCATCTTTATTGAATCTAAGTTTAGTGCAGAAACATGCATTAAAGGGAAGATAAACTCTGAGGGGGAGGATTTCATTTTCACTCTCCAACATCACAAGTCTGATTCATGAATCAGTTGCTGCTCTTAATCTCTGTTGCAGCTTTAGGACATAAACTGTCTCTGTCTGTTTCTAACACTGAACTAAAGTGATGTTTCTGACGCATAACAGCTGCTGAAGCTCTCAGCTCTGACTCGATCTGGCAAAACAACTCCAAATCTTCCCCACAACTGCACACATTCAAGCAGCTCAGCCCTCACCTCCTTGTCTGAGATGTAGAGGTGATCTCCCTTCAGCACCACATACCGGCTCCGCCACAGCTCCCTGAAAATCCCCCGGCCACAGAACTTCCGGATCCAACCCGCCTTCTCCGGCTGCTGCACAGCGAGCGGACCGCAGTCCTGGATGCCCTGAAAATTGAACAAAAAGAAGAGTCAAGTCATTGTTCCACAATGGGGAAACTCGTTCTCTGCAATTTACCCATCCCCTTGGGGAGCAGTGGGCTGCCATTGTGTGGCATCTGGGGAGCAATCAGGGGTTAAGGGTTTTGCTCAGGGACCCAGAGTGCAGACTGTGAGAATCAAACCGGTTACTTGCAACCTTCTCAGAGCACAAGAGCACTGCTCTAACCACTAGACCAACACTCCCCTAGTGTGAGTGTCTGGAAAGACATAAAGTTGCTGCAAAATCAGTGAGGAGCAGGAAAAATAAAATAAAAATAAGGATGGAAACTTTAATTGAGTTTTTTGAGGGTAAGAAAAACAGAAGAACTGATATAGATAAATATTTGGTCAAACATAAAAAGAAAGGCTTAGGAGGAGTGAGGAGGAGGAGAAATAACGTGTTAGTGATGGAGGAGTGCAAATCTTCACGATGATCATGTTTGTCATGATCTCACTGCTCTCCGTCAGTTTGACCTACTTTAATTACATAACAGCCCGACTCTGACAGAAGTAAGAGGAAGGAGAAAACTGGGAGAAGTGTCGGCGAGTGAAACAGATGCAATAAAATCAACTAGCAGCAAAGAGATAGGAAGCAACAAGGAGTAACTTCAGAGAAAAGAAATCAAAAGGAGGCTCAGTCAAATTTCAAAGAGACATTAAAAAAAAGACATGAAAGTTGACCTCGAAGGGGTTTGGGATGTTACTTTATCCTGTGATCTGACAATAACAGGTTTCAGTAAGAAAAGTTATTTATCTGAGTTCTGGAGGGGAAAGCATTCATTTAAAGAATGAATAAAACATATTTCTACAAAGATTTGTGCCCTTTTCCTTATAATGGTGATTACTTCAATAAGAAAACATATTTTCTGCTCAGAAAATGGAGAAGATGGAAGGTGTAAATCATTAATCTGGTTTTGGGGTCCCAGAACAGCAGGAACTTCTAAGAAGAGAGACTGGAAAACTTGATAATAGTGAAAGGAGATAAAATATTAAATCTTTGCCAGTTACTGTGAGTTAGATTTAAATGTTTAACCATCTAATAAACACAAATAAACAGAAAAAAATTATAAAATTTTATTTATTTAGACATAGGATGAGTAATACTTATGTTATTAAAGCCTGTTTCCTTTTTTTCAACTAATTAGACATATTGATTAAGGCATTCATTGGAAATGCGTTACTGAAGAAGAATTTCAGCTTTTTTTCCTCTACATGGGGCAGCATGAATATTAATGAATAATGATCCCTAAATCAGAAATGTGTGGGCTTTTTGTTTCAGTTATAACACTAATTAACTCAGCGTTCTCTATCAAATTAAAGATGTGAGTTATAACCAAACGAATGTTATAAATGGACCTCTTTGTTTAAAAGAAAAAATAAGGAAAAAGGGTGTCTGACTGACCCGCCTGCTTTGGTTGCTTTTCTTCATCCTCCCTCCTCTGTACTCCCGGGGATAACCGCTCAGCTGGAGCGCTGGGGAAGGAGGAGGTTCCACCCGACCCGGTGAGACACCGGTAGCTCTGGTCCCAGGAAGATGGTGGTGTCGCCGTGTCCGCTCGGGTCCACGCCGGTTGTGTCTCCTTCTCAGAGCTGCTGCTGTTGTCTGAACACAGCCTGCATCCTTCCCCTGCGCGTGCGCGCTGCGCTTTGGAGCAAATGCGCACTGGCTTCGATACGCGCGCTCCCTTCACAAGGACGAGCGCGGGGGGCTTTATTTCCAGCAATTAAGCTCAAAAGCGACACCCAGCGGCAAACAATATAAAAACGAAAAGAAAAAGAAAATACACGTTTGAAACGTTGGAGTCACCAGCCGTAACCAGCAGATGAAGCATTATGGCTGGGAAAAAAAATATTTTAGATCCCTCCCACCAAAAATAAATAAATAATTTCCCCTAACTTCAAGCTTACTTTACTTTATTTTTAAAATGTAATGACTTTATATCGCAAAAAATAAAAAACAAAAAACAACATAGCCTAATATTAATTTCTGGATGCAGATGGATGATCCAGATCATCACCTAATTTTAATGGATTGCCCATTGGACTTAAGCACCCCTTTCTTTAACATTTCATTAAGATCCATTCATAACTTTTCAGGTTATCCTGTGCACAGACAGACAGACACTCACAAACTCTTAAAACCATAGCCTCCTTTGCTGAGGTAACTATATTTATAGACATTTTATGACACTTTGTCTTAATTAGTTGCCCTGTAATGGCTAACAAAAGTTGATTTAAAAAAAGATTTAGTTACTTTGGGTATCATCAATTTAGTTGAGATCTTATGTCATTGACAAAAGTTAGTTCATAATTGCAGGTTAAAAGCAAAAAAGTTCTTTAAAGTTTGTTCTCTTTAACCTTCTTTATACTCTGATTGTCATTGAGTGCAGAACACATTTGAAACGTTGGATTCACCAGCAGATGAAGCATTATGGCTGGAAAAAAAGAATTTTAGATGACCCCCCCCCCCCCCCCCCCCAAAAAAAAAAGTTTCTAACTATAGACAACAAACTCGGAGAACACAGACCTCCTCCAAGTGGACAAACTCATTTCCCCTAACTTCAAGCTTACTTGACTTCAGCTGTATTTAAAGAATATTGCAAATCTAAAAAATAAATCCTGGAAGCAGATGGATGATCCAGATCATCACCTAATTTTAATGGATTGCCCATTGGACTGAAGCACCCCTTTCTTTAACATTTCATAAAGATCCATTAATAACTTTTCAGGTTATCTTGTGCACAGACAGACAGACACTCACAAACTCTTAAAACCATAGCCTCCTTTGCGGAGGTAACTATATTTATAGACATGTTATGGCACTTTGTCTTAATTAATTTTCCTGTAATGGCTAACAAAAGTTGATCCAGAAATAAGTAAAAAATGGCTTAAATTAAGTATATTTAGCCTTAATTTGAGCAGGTAAATAAGATGATTTGCCAATGGAATGAGTATTTTCACTCTTAAAATAAGATAGTTAGATAATATTTACTTGAAATAAGACGATAAAATAGTTTTTTCTTATTTTAAAAGGAAATTGTCTTGTTCCATTGGCAAAGTGTCTTACTTACCTCCTCAAAATAAGGAAAAACGCACTTATTTTAAGAAAAAATAACTTATTGAGATTTCTATTTTTTGCAGTGTGGACTCTAGCAACTTGATGCTAACTTTAGGCAATTGTTTCACAAAATTTTGCTTAGAAATATCAGTGTAATGGGGACTGAAAATAAATGCAAAAAACGTTCCATATTTTCATTTCAAATAAAGAAAAGGAAACCATAAGGACCATTATTTTATTTTCCCTTCTGAACAATGCTTTATTTTGTGTAGATCTTATAAATGTTTCAAGAGGTGTTAATACTTTTCAATTCAACTTCGATTCAGTTTATTTCTATAGGGCCATTTCCCAACACATGTCATTTCAAGGCACTTTACAGTCACCAGATCATACAGTCAATTGATTCAAAGTTTTCTATCTAAGGAAAACAAGTTGATTGCATCGACTCATTGACTCAAATGCAATCGCTTACACTAAGCATGCTTTTGAACACCTAAGTCAGAAAAAGGAACTTTCTTTCATGTTCCAAAGTGACAGCTTTTAGGTTTTGTCTGACCTTGACTTAGTATATCTTTTAAAATAAATGTGATATCATTGTGGTATTTTTAAGTAGTTTTGATAGAATTATGGCCGTTTGAAAAAGTTGTTTTTATTTGAAAGGCTGATTTTTTATTGGAAAACTGCAGCTCATTTAAAATGTTGCTGCCAGAGTCCTGACTGACACCAGAAGAATTAATCATATCAAACTTGTTTTTAAAGCATTGTGTGCTTCTTTGGTAAAGGACATATATTAGAATCTGAATTTGGTCCACAAACCATTAAATGATTTCTGCCAGAAAAAAGTAGAAAGTACTCACACTCCTCTGTCTTTTCTTTTTTAATTTTTGTTTTATATTCTGTATTTTGTGTGTTTTTCCTGTACGGGGCTGCCTGCTGGATGTTTCTTCCTCTTAAAAGGGAGTTGTTTTTTTCTCTCCACTGTCGCTACAAGCATGCTTGGTGTGAGGGATTGCATTCGAGTCAGTGAGTCATGCAATCAGCTGGTTTTCCTTAGAAAACTTTAAACCATGTATGATCTGGTTGAATAGTCTCTGTAAAGTGCCTTTAGATTACATTTGTTGTGAATTTGCGGAATATAAATAAACTGAACTGAATTTAATCCACTAAATTTGTTAAAAAATATATGTTTTCATAACCTATGTTTCAATACTTTGTCCAGGCTTCCGTGTGTCTGTAAAATATATAAATCTTTGTAAAAATTAGCTATTGAATTAAACAGAAATAACATTTTACAAAAAGAAATACTTTAATTTTTTTAAGTTTCTTGATTATGTAAAGAAAAATAAAATAATTCTATCATAAACTCTAGCAATATGCTATATTAAAAATTAATCTAAACACTTCATTTGAATTAAGATTTTTTTAAGTAATTTCTGCCCTTTATTTTCATGACAGGAAAGGGATAACAGAAAGATTTTATTTTGAATGAAAATTAAGAGTTTAATTTAGAGCTTTATCTTTCAGTCCTAAAATAAGGGTAACCTTTGGGTGATTCTCAACAGCAGAAATCAAGACATGTGAGTCTGAGAGAAAGAAATGTAATCATATAGTTATTGATTAATATAGATTTATTTGCATAAACCCTACATGTTGTATCAAGCTTCGTTTTCTTCCTTCTTTTCCAGGCAAAAATCTGCAGGGAGACAAAAAACAAATAAACATTAAACTGGCAGGTTATTAAATTTTTTTAAGATCATCCACTTCCTGATACTAATAATGTCTGAAATTTAGGTTAATTTTATAGTATATATATATATATATATATCCAAACACAAAAAAAACAGGTTAATGTAAAGTCAGCTGCTTTTTCCAGCAACCTTTTGAGCCTGTGTGACAAACAGAATTTAAATGCTTCAAGAACCTCACATGTTATATAAATCCTTCTTTATGTTGTGGAGACATGTTAAAGTATGATAAAAAAAAATGTAGGAATTTGGATCATCCTTGGTTTACTGAAAAACCTACAATACACCCAATTATTTGGCTTTTGTAATGATAAAGCTCTAAAATTTCATGTCTAACACCAACTTTACCAACTCTACCATGGCATCATATTTGGGTTTTATCATGTCTCTGACCTGCCTTCCCATCATAGTGGAAACCACCGTCAAAATTGAATTTCAGACACTCCGCGATCCTTCTTTGTTCGCTCTCAGCAGCTTTTAGCTCTTCAGCATCCAGGTGTTTCCCCTCGCTTCCTGTGTCAGAGAAAAGGACAGGAAGTCAGCGTCGCAGAGAAAGAAACCAGTGAGGCCATTACAGCTCTAATAAACACTTTGAAAACTGAATAAAAAAACAACACTTCATACCCTATAGGACAAGTCTTCCCATTCTATTCAGATTTATTTTTTACATCAGATTAACTGGGACTTAAATTGACATCAGAATGGGCTCTATGCACAACTCCAAGTTACAAACCGGCCCCTAAGCATTAACCCTGAGAACTACACCTCTGTTTCCGTTCCCGCTGAGGTTCCGCCACATTAAGTGCCATTCCAAACCCTGTAGTGGGTAGGGCAAATCTGTATCAGTTGCAGGCTTGCTGGAATTTGGCAGCAAGTGTAAAAGCATCCTGGTGGCAGAGGAAACACATTCCTCCAAATGTAAATTCTGCTGGTTTGCTGCATCTTTGTCACACTGACAGAAAATTACAAGTTGATATATGAAAAAAAAAAAAATGTATTCCAAAAGGAAAGATCCTCCTTGAAATAGTTTTATTTGAACTTATACATTTGTTTTATGTTTTCTGCCGAGGTCTGAGCAGTAATTGTATCAATAAATTTCTCTTCGTGTGAGTTTTTCATATTGAACAGGCTTTTTTTATGGTCTTCTGATGACATTTGTGCTAAAATGTTAGAATAATTTAATGATAATAATAATCACAAAATGACTCATTGATTGGTATCCTGTTCCCCAAAAGAACATCTGAAACTGTGATGATAGAGACAAATCTCTATTTCCATTTTCACTCCGTGGTAAAGGAAAAATGATGGACATTGCAGGTACATAACTTCGATTAGGTGTCATGTCTGTAGCAGGGGAAGCATCATTGAGTTCAAGGAGTGGAACAGCATCATGGCTTCATTACCACAGATAACATCCCGTTGGTTTATTCTCCAATGGAGGCTTTTGGAGATCATAGAACGATCTTAATCCTCTGCCAATGTGTTACAAATTCTTATTAACATGTTCGCCATTATTAAAGTGCTTTCCTTACTGTAGAAAAGCAGTATCCTTCCTGGTGTTCCTTCAAACACTCCATGGTAGACAATTAGTAGGCAGTTTGGACAGCCCTGATAGATATCTACTCGACCCTGGTCATCATATGGAGTCACCGCACCACCAAACACCTGCACTCCTTGAGGGCACAAAATTAGCAACAGTAATTTATGAACACCAAAATCTATCATCCATTCACTTTTCCAAAGACTTTATCTTCTCTTTTTTTCATTTTCCTGCTGATCGCTTTAAAAACAGAATATTTCTTTGTGATGTGGGGAAGAAAAACACACTGCCTCGTCAATCCTCTGTAATTAGGACCGTAACTCATGAGCAGAATCTCTTGAGGCAAACAGCCGTGAACTCATTATGCTTCTGCAGGCCAGTTATTTTAAATGTCTTGACTGCGACAGTCCAAAGTACCAAATACAGTACCAAGCAGCGAAAAAACTTATGCAGCATTAAATTCTGGAGAAATAAACTTACTTATTCATTCTGTGAACAACGATAAAGTCTTACAAATTCATCACTTCTTTTGTCTAACACTCAGATTTGTGCATACACCCAATTTGCTACAACCAACCTTTCAATAAGAGCATCAATTTGCTAGACTTTAAATGTGTTCTATATCAAAACGTTATATTTGTCTTTTAGATCATTACTTGTTTGGATAAATCAGTCCTGTACTCACCTGGACCATCGCGAATGAGAGTATGGTTGGATTTCTCAGGGTCTTGAATTGTCATGTTCACATGGAAGACTAGACAATTTCCTGCTCTGAAAGGATAGAATAGAGAAAAAGACTAATTATCAAACATAATTGAAATCTGGCTTTAGTTAACAGGTAATGGGCACCTAAATTATTCTCACACAATGTTTCGTTCGGTAAGTAGCAAACTCTCGTTGTCGTCTTTGATTTTGAACTGCACAATGGAGCTATTAGCGTTTCTCATAAGCTCCAAACCAGCTGGATAGTCTGCAAAAGACTTGACCACAACCCAACGCACCTCACCTAACTGTAAAAAGAACAAAGAGGAGATTAATCAAGAGCACTGTTGTCCTGAATAGACATGTGTGAGGTACCGAGCAGGTCAAGCTTGAGGACACAGCTGTGATTTCCAAGAAAAAGAGTTTTATTTCCCCAAAGTAACAAAAATCCAAACAATAATTGAAGCGCCATAAAAAGAAGTGAATATAAGAGATTAACTCAAGGCAAAAAATATGAAGGTTAAACTAACAAAACCTCAAACTAACTGCACAAACAAACTTAAATACAGGTTGATCATACCAGACTGACACACTGAGGAAGAGGGACAAGAACATCTACACACAAAAAGAAAAAATAACTAAACAATCTGATTAAGGATTAAACTTAAATTACTAATAACTAAACAAAATTAACAAGATGTGCAAATCACAAAATATTAAAGTGAGGACTCCATAATGAAAATCCAGATGGTACCACCCAATCTCTCAATCTAGGATTGAGTGTGCCAGCAAGTCCTTCACCTAGTCGAAGGTACTCTCCACAACACCAGAAAAGGAAGCATAAAAACTAAGTACACAAAAGTTAACCAAATGAGTGAGAAAACATAAAGTGAAAAAGTGGTAGTGAGTGGGGTTACCAACCGTGTGGCCATCACACCACGCAAAACATATATGTTCTTCTATGTCATCTCACCTTCCGCACATCCTGTTGTTGCACCTTCGGTGGCAGGTTGCATTCTTCGGAGGCAGACTGAGTGCTGCAGCTTAGCAGCATCAGAAGCAGCAGAGCTCCCGTGGCCTGAGGCTTCATCGTGGATCAGGAGAAGACAGAAGGGCTGATATAGGTGGAAGGATTAACAAAAAATTTAGGGAAATTCAGCCAAATCACAGCAGTAAATATTAGAGAAAAGCACGCTGATTGAATAAAAATCAGGATTATAATCCGGACTCAGATCACTGATTGTGATCTGTGGAGAAAAGAAGCAGGTTGTCCACATTGCGGCAGGCGAAGAACTAGCTGCTACTGCGACATCAGGGAGGACAGGGAGCTTGACGCCCAGAAGAACAGCCAAGGACACCGTACAACAGACATAATCAACAACAATTAAGGACACTTAAAGCTATAGGGGAGGAGGTTATGTTTCCGGGTGGATCATCGATATAAGTATCCTCCTAATTGTTAATTCATTCTCGTGATATGTTTACGTAAGGCCGTCCTAAGTGCTCGTCCCTATTTTCACTTACCGGTGGTGAGTCTGACATAGGGGAAAAATTACACATCTTCTTTTGAAAAGTAAGCATGTATGAGCAATGCGAACAGCAACATTTAAACAGAGCGTCTGTTGCACAGGGGAAAATATTATTGTGTTTTCTTTTATTTAGACTTTTTGATTTGCTTTGCATGTTTGGATTGTTTTGGATTTGGTTTTCCCCCTGTGACAACCCAAGCGCACTTGACTGAAGATGGTTGACTGGGGAGGTGGAGTGCATTAATTGCTGCGCTGAAGCCAACATAAAAGGAGACTGGATGGAAGGTTGGTTGCTCGGGGAACAAATTGGAGTCAGATGTACATGGCATGTGTTTCTAAGTCACTTGTGGAGAAATGTCCTGGGTCGTGCGTAGCGAGGAAATAGGAAGCTATTCTTGTAGGATGGAAGAGGGAAATAGTGAAAACGAAGAAAATTGGGAGAGAGTATAGTCAAAAAATTAGAAAAAGCGGAAAAAACAGAGATCAATTGAAGTGGAGTCCAGTTCAGAACAGTCAAGTGATGAACAATCTATACATTCCACAGGAAAACAAAATGATTACAAATTTATTTTCAATCTAGTTAATCAGGGAGACTCTTTTGCAGATTGGAATCCAGTGCAGTTAACAAAATTGATAAATAGACTTGTAGGAGAAGTCTGAAGCGCCAGAATACTCTATAGCGGAGACCTATTAATCAACTGCAGAGACAGCGCTCAGCAAGGCAAAGACATTTGGATTAACAATATTGAGGGGAAAAGAGCAGTGTTGTATAGTAACAAAGTAAAAATACTTCACTACTGTACTTAAGTATATTTTGGAGTACTTTATACTTTCCAAGAGTATAATTTTTTTGAGAACTTTCACTTTTACTTTACTACATTTACGAACTTAATTGCATACTTTTACTCCGATACATTTTCAATGTTTGGTTTAGTTACTAAGTAAAAAAAAAAAAAAAACGAGCGAGAGAAAGTGTTTTGACGCCACCTACTGACTACAAAGTCGGGTCTTGCCTGGACTTGTTCATCAACACCAATAGGATACACCTGTTTCGCAAAGCCAGTATAAATGTATCCTATACTTGGTTCTTTTTTTTTTCAGTAAATTTAACCTTCAAAGTTTACCAAAATGTAAAAAAAAAAATGTAATTCAAACTGCACTTACTTTCTACTTATACTTTTTACTACATTACTTGAGTAGGCTACATCTATTTTTACAGTAATTCTTATACTTAAGTACAAGCCATTTCAGATACTTTAAGACTTTTACTCAAGTAACATTTCAGTCAGTGACTTGGACTTTTACCACAGTCATATTTTGGAGAGGTACTTATACTTTTACTTGACTCCGAGATTTCAGTACTTTATACAACACTGGAAAAGAGTTCAGTGCAGCCTGGTGGACAACAAAAGGATTAGCAGGGGAGTCCTTGGAGGAGTTCCTTTTAAAAGTAACTGACAAAGAGATTCTAGAAAACATGAGTGGTGCAAAAGTAAAAGAAGTGAAACAGTTAAAAACTACAAGAAATGGATAAAGGTGTGACAGCTTATCTGTCTTAATCAAATTTGAAGAAAAGCATTTAAGGCTTTCATTGGTTACATGATCTACAATGCAAAACTGTACAATCCTCCAGCTCTAAGATGCTTCAAATGTCAAAAATTTGGACAAATAGCAGCAGAATGTAAAGGGAAACACTTATCTGGAAGGTGTGCTGGAGAGCACGAATATGGAAAATGTGGGAAAGAAGCTAAAATCAAATGCTGTAACTGTGGTGGAGAACATACTGCTGCATGTTGCAGCTGTGAAGTGAATAAAAGACCTGAAGAAATTAGAAAAGTGAAATTAGAGCTCGGAATAACATATGCTGAAGCTGCAAAAAGGTTCCCATCCCAGTCAGAAAAACCCAAACCAAAACCCAACCTAATTAAACTCAATGTGCAATAATTCTTTCATTTGTCAAAAGAGAACATAATAAATAATACATTTTTTTAACAACTCAAAATCAAAACTAGACATTAATCTTATAAAGGTAGAAATATATTTACAAGTAACCAGGGCTGGAGTCCTTTTGCTGTTTATTGTTCCAGGGGAGATGCTGCTTATTTACAGTAAGACTAACATTTTAATATTTGTAACACATTTTAGGAACAATCTGTTGTGGTGCATAAACCTGTAGGGAAACTGTAATCTTTCTTTATGCACTATAAGTTACGAATAACAAATCTGTTAAAAGCTCAGTAATGAGTAACTTGATTTTGACTTTTACAAATAATTGGTTACAGTACTAGTTACTGGAAAAGGAACCTACTTTCTGTAACACATAACTTAAAGGTATAGTGGAGGATTTTCTTTTTGTGGATAGATCATCCAAATAAGTGGTCCTCATAACTGTCAATCATTGTAGTGATATGCGTATAAAAGGCCGTCCTACATGCTTGTCCCTATTATCACTTACCGGTGGTGATTCCGATATACCGTAGTACAAAAATTGTAGATCTTCTTTTGGAAAGTAAGCTTGTATGAACGATGCAAACAGCAACTTTTAAACAGAGCGTGCACGAGGAGAAATGGGCTTGTTATTGCACGTGTTTAATAGGCGATCCCTCTCGGGAGCGGGTACAGGGTTGTCCATGTGCAGTTTTTCTATTTTATTTTTTCTACTTCTTTTGTCTAATATTTTGATTTATGTTCTGATTTTAAAGATTAAACATCTTTCCTCACAGTTTGCTACAATCAGCCATCATAGGGGATCATCTATTTTATCAACTTTAACAGCATTTTCTATCAAAGTCATCCCACTTATCCTTCAAATCAGGACATGTTTATGTTATCTGCGTCTGATCCTGGAAAGCTTTATCAATGACTAGTTTTTTCTCACCAAAGTCCTTCAGAATAAAAGTATGATTGGATGTCCTGGCATCCGGACTTGAATAGCTTCCATTAGTATGTACATAGTAGAGAGAGAGTAGAACATGATAAATTCTAAAAGAATCAGATAGTCAATACATTTAAACCATGAAATGCTGAAATTGTGGCACACAGTTCATCTCAGGATAGAAGAATTATTTGATCCCTGATTCTGCATTTAAGGCGGATGTGACTTTACATCCGCCTTAAATACAGAATTTCCTAAGGTCATGAAAAAAAAAAGAGCATCATTAAATGCAAATTATACACAGTTCATAAAGTATATTACAAAATAAAATATAGACAGATCCCTGTGAAAGTCTGCAGGTAACAAGAAAGATTTTGAGATATATTTTAACATTTACCTATATTACATAGACAGAGTTTGTTTTTACTAAACGATTAAAGAGAAGCTTGATTCGCTTATTTTAGAATTAAATGCTTCAGAACACACATTAGTGCTGCTTTGTGCTCATGAACTCTGTCATACCTACTTACTTTGAAACACTTTAAAACAAATATTAGTTGCATCAAAGTTCCGCATGAAACGAAAACATCCAAGATATAGATGTATACTTATAAAAATAATCATGTGGCAGTGAAAGTTACAAATTAACTAACATTGGAGATGCTCCAAATTAAGAATTAAACAAACATATTTTGAAATAAATACATATATACTAGTGTATATATGTTTATTTAAATCATGTCAGCATAATACAATCCATATTTATAAACACACACAAAAACACCGTCAAGGCTCTTTACTGGAGTCTTCAATAATAGTCTTTTACATTCACATTGAGTCACACATTTAAAAGGACATGTTGGAAAAATTAAAGAATATAACCAGAAAATCACTCAGTTTTATTAAACAAATGAAAAAAAAAAAAAAGTCAGATTTGCATTTATAATCAAGCTATTGGGGTTCCTAAATTCATCACTGCACAACTGTTTATTCAAAAATGTGGATAGGATGACGTCAGATCATTTAATCCAAATACACGGATTAATATTTAATTAAAGATATTTTCAGTTTACAGGTCTGTTAAGAGTACAAAAGGTCATCTTCTATTATATATGTTATCTACTTCCCTCTCTACAATGTACAAATAGTACTTTGTACCTGACATACTTTACATCATATATCTCAACAAAAGCCTTTGCCCCAAAAAGCCCAACCAAAAATGTACATTTTAATTTACCGCTGATAAAGTGGCTGCCAGGCTGCTGCTTTGTTTGAAATGTTGGTTTGCTTGTGTGTTTTTTCTTTCTTTGTATGTGATGTTGGATGTTTGTATATTTTCACGTTCTGAAGACCTCGAACCTGGTGTTTAAAAAAGAAAAGAAAAAAATGCTGATCCATGTCTAGTCTTTTCCTATTTTTAAAAATTGTGATAAAATAAACCTCTGATGAAACAAGATGCTTATTTTTAAGCTGTAGCTCTATTATAGTGTGGCTCCACAGTATAACAAAAATCCTCAATTTATATTAAAACTCTGGCATCTGTTGATGCATGAATTTTACTGCCGAAAATTTGGTCACAATGTTTTAGCATTTATGGTATAATTTGTAGGCTGTAACAATGAAGTGTTATTTGTTTACAGCAAATGAAGTTATGTGTAAAAATCAGTGTTTTTTTTTTTTAAAGAACCACCAGTTTCTGCTCCCAAACACTTCAGCAAATGTATTGTAGCCAGAGGCGTGCACAGACATTTTGGGGGGCAGGTGCTCAGGAGGGGGGGGGGAGGGCACTTTTTAGCGCACGTGTAACACTTAATTATAAAAAAAAATAAACGCATGTTGAATGAAATTTGACTTTTATTTGTAACATTCTCTAAACGTGAGTTTTCAATGGAAAAAAGTCACATCACCAACAGAACAGACTAAAGCATACTTCTTTCATCTGGCTCATCTCCCTGTTTTCCCTCACCCATCTGTTCTCCCTCATCCTGGTCTTTTTCTGTCTCTGTGTCTTCCCTGAACTCTTCCTCATCTCCTGTCCTGTTATATGTTGATGGTATAGAGCTTCCCTGCTGTGACTGGCTACAATATATTAATAATAACCATCATGACAATAATAATAATAATAATGATAATAATAATAATAATAATAATAATAGCTTTAACAAATATGCCACATTAGTTTAAATAATGGGCTATTAGGGCAACATGACTGGAAGTCTTGTCACGTGGATATGACTTATGGTAGCCTACAAAATAATAGCTATTTTAATACCTGCTGCACAAACCACTTAAAAATAAAATGTGAACAGCTTTTAAGATTTTTCAATATGATTAACCCTCCTTTCTTGGCATTGTGCTGCAATTACTAAATCAATATACAATTAAGACAATAAAGAGACCAAAATGTGTTAATTTATGTTGCCTAACAAAACCTATACAACAGAAAACGTTTGTCTTAACACATAGATTTGTACAGAAGAGGATTAGGGCCACTGAAAAAAAAAAGTTAACTGATTTTTAAATTTTATTTCAGTTTAACATGGGAAAAAAGTCAGAATTCTGACTTTTTTATTGTCAGAATTCTGAGATTAAAGTCAGAATACTGAGCAAAAAGTCAGAATTCTCAGCAAAAAGTCAGAATTATGAGAAAAAAGTTAGAATTATGAGATTAAGGTCAGCATTCTGACTTTTTTCCCATACTAAACTGAAATAAAATTTAAAAATCAGTTAACTTATATTTTTTTTTTCAGTGGCCCTAATCCTCTTCCGTAGATTTGCAATTGCAAACTCTACCAAAATTATTTGTAGCCTATGTGGTCGTCCTCACGTTATCTGTCATTGACTTGGGCTACAGTGTAAAACTTTCAGAATCAGAATCAGGTTTATTGCCATTGTTAGTGAAGGAGTTCACAAACTAGGAATTTTTTGTGGTACAATCGTGCAACATGAAACATATAATATGGAATAGGTAAATAAAATTATAAAAATATCTAAAAACTGTGGGTATACGTCATGCAATAAAATAGACTAATATATACACTTAAGATAAAAAATATGGATACAAAATATAAAAAGTAAAATAGCATCTTACAAGGAGACAACTAGTTTATCTGGTGACCAGTCGGCAAAATGCGTGTTTGGTGCTGCTGAATGAGACATTTTAATGCACAACAAAATGATTCTGCTTGATCTGTATATTACCTGGCTAATGGGGCACGGGTGAAGCAGCCTGTCAGCGACCGTTCCTATCTAAAGACGCTACTGAACTGCTATGATGCTGCGCATCAGGCATGCCCTGCGGGCGACCGAGCGAGTTCACGTGACAAAGGAAGAGAGAGAGGCTGGTCGGGTGTGCGCAAGTAGGTCGGTCATTTCGGGGCATTGTTTCAGTCGTTTTTAATGGCTCAGGTTTTCAAAAGATCATTTCAAAACCGACCTCAGTAAAATCTTAATATATTAATAATTAAAAAAAAAACGAGTTTCATAAGGGCATTTTCTTCAGGGCAAACTTCCTAGTGCTTTAGCACCACCTAGTGTCTATGTGTGCACGCCCCTGATTGTAGCTCATATTAACTTATATTTAATTTCAATTTCAAGTTGTAAAATAGAAATAGGGTTTTTATAGTATATTTACAACAACTTTATTAACAATGATGAGGAACCTGAACAATGGCTTTAAACAGGACCTATTAAAGGTAACAGCAATCTTACTCATTACCAAATACTCAGCCAATGGAATGCATTGTTATAATGATCAACTATGTAACCCTCAGAGATAGAGAGCAAAAAAAAGTTATTTAACTATAAAACATTATGGAACTTTTCTAAATTTTACATTTACTCAAGATTTGGAATTACAGCTCTGTATTTTATATCATAACTATAAAATCCTTAAAATGGTTTTTTTTGGGGATTCAAAGCAATTTATTTACTATCGTGAGACAGTTTTGGTTTTAAAAATAATAATATTTCCGGGCTATAAACGGCTACTTTTTCCCTACGCTTTGAACCATGCAGCTTATAAGAAAGTGAAGCTTTTCTGTTTTTTTCATAATTAATTGAAATAAGGGGCTAATTTATATTTAGCACAAGAACATGCTAGTTGACTACACGACGGCAAACAAATGTCCCAAATTCACACATTTTGACATTTATTTGCCTCATTAAAGCTGGTGAACCGATGAAGAGACTGGGCTTAACTCCTGCAGAGCGGAAATAAAGAGCAGATATTAAAACTGATGATTTAAAGGAAAAAAATAAACAAGAAGATGTTTGTTAGTCTTGGAAATAAAGCTACAGGAAGCTAGAAAAATAGCTTTATAAAAGTAAAGAAACTCATTTTTGCAGATTCTAGATATGTTTGCAAAATAATTCACAGCTGTGGCTCCATTAGAGTACGGAAAGAGAAATAAAAAAAAAAAAACAAACCTTCCCAATGCTGTTAAAGCAAAAATTGCTACACAAAATTAGAGAAGTAGCATTTTTTACAGAGGAAAATTTTTGTATCTGTGGAAATTTTGTCATGATTTTCCTTATCGTGTCAAATTTTTTGAAATGTTGGATTGACATAAAAAATTAAACTAGTGCAAAAAAAGAAAATCTCCAGCAATTAAATTTTGTTTTCCCCATCAGCATTGTGACTCTTAAAAGTTCAATATTTCCATTTTCTATAAAAGCATAGATTGCAGCTAGAATTAGGGGGTCTTTCGTCATCCTTCCTGAACTCTGAAACATTTCTTTCTAATGTTGCATGTTTATAATAAGAGGTAATAATTGACAATTTCATTTGATGTAATTATTCATGAAAATTTAATAAGATAAAATCAAGGAGATGGATACCAACTATGAGTTTAGTGTACTGATAAAGACAGAGCTACCTGAAAACAACACTGAGCCTAAATGCTGTTTAATGTTAAACTTCACTAACTGACCTTAGAAGAAGATTATATTAAATAAAAGCCTGTTGGGATCTAAAAAAAATATATAAATACAGAAATAAACAACTGGAGGGAATGATGCAGTTTATTCAACAAGAGGTTGTTGAGCCAATGTTCATCGCCTGGTGGAATGGCGAGCACTTCCCTGCGCTCTATCGCCACTGTGACCCGTCGCCAACATCACCTCTTCTAGGAAACTGTTGAAAAGAGAAAAGGTGTGATTAGATTACAGTTTTTACATCAAATTAAACAAAAACATGTTTTAATGTCTCACTTTAAATGTACTTTCTTTTCTGTATATTGAAATAAATAAAAATCAGCGTTTTTATTATATTAGGTCATTTTTCAAGCAAAAACAAGAAAAACTAATTCCAATCATAAGATGATACACTTTTAGCCAATCTTCCTGAGTGTTTCCACAACCAGTGGAGAGAGCTGATTAATCCAACTTTTTCCATATCCTGTCGAAAGAAAAGCACAGACATCTTTTCCATGTACAAATGCACAAAATGCTTCTCATTGCTTCTTTTTTAAACAAGAAATTGTCGCTATTTTAGCTAAAACCAATTCAATTGCGGCATCGACAGGTGATTCCTCCATGTTTTTAATGCACTGGCAAATCCCTTCTGACTGTCATCGTTCCTACATGTCCCGCCCCCAAAAATACTGCTGCCATGTCATTGGTCCGACTCGCTGGTTGTTAGGAGATGGACGTATTAGGGGGAGTCTTTCAAGATGGAGTTTTTGTGAGACTAAAAAAAAAAAAGATCTCACAGCAAATTCATTACTTCTACAACTAAAACAGTTTCTTTCAAAGAGTTCCCTGTTCACAGGTAAAATAACTCGGATAGGAAAATCTGAAGTCGTTCTGCTTTTGATTGATTGTTAAGTTAATAACTGAAGTACTTCAATGAGCTTTTACTCGCTCACTCCATCTTAGGTCACCCGGTCAGCTGTTCCTGTAAGACCGCGCTTTCACCGCTGCAGCTCCAAAGCTCTGAAATGACCTGCCTCAGTACATCAGACAGGCCTCTTCTCTGACTGTCTTGTCAAAACCCACCTTTTGACACCTAGCAAGACAGTGGACTTTATTTTATTTCATCATTGTATTCATCCGATTTTATTGCTTTGATTGTGTGACTGTTATTTTTTGAGCTGTTTTTTCTTTTATCTGTGATGTCTTATTTCAGCACTTTGGTCAGCTGTAGTTGTTTTATAAGTGCTTAACAGATAACATTGGATTGGAACTAAATTGATTTCTGGAGTTCCACAAGAATGAGTGTTTGAGTCTTCTGTTTTTTACTTGCAGAAGTGAATCTATCGAACTAAAAGCAAACATCACATAAACAACCGACACCTCTTAGTGTTGTGGATTGCACTTCCTCCCAGGACGATCCGAACCCCGGGGGTATTACGGTTCAGGTTGTAAACAGTCAAAGCTTCTTCATATGTGGCTCCACCGATCAGGAACACCATAATGTCTTGAGGCCTGGAAAATATTTTCATAACGTGACTTTACAGAGAGAGATATCTTATAATCTGTATTAACGTTAATTATTAAAGCCCTGAATTATATAACCCACAATGTGACGAGTATATCAGAGAAAGTGATTTATCTAAGGAATGCAGATTTTCAGTGTGTTACCTGTCTCTGAGGCTGCTGGCCCCCAGGTATGGGAACTGACTGTCTTTGAGTCGACCTTTAATCAGCTGATCCAGAGTTTCATGCAGCAGAGGCTGATGTTGTGTATACACGTTTTCTACACCCTGAGAAAACAGATTAATAAATGCATGTTTTTCTCTAATCACTGTATTATGGTATAATAAAAATGTATGATTCTTCAGGGAAATTTTAAAAAAGTTAGAAACATAAAATATATTGCTTTAATGTGCTTTTATACCTTAAGTCCTTTGAAGAACTGTTTGGTGATAGCAACAGCATCTGTGGGTGTGATGAGGTCACTTCCTCTGATTCTCTTCCCACCGTACTCCACAACCGACTGAACCATCTGCGACAAAGATCAGCAATGAAATTTTTAGCTCCCTTAGACTTTTGCTGCCACCCAGCGACAAAAGGAAAGCATGAATGTATGCTTAGTTTAACATCAGGTGCTTTGATTACCCTGCGGTAGCGTTCAGACACTCCCCTCCTGCTCAGCTCCTCTATTAAAGATGTCAGGATGCTGCTGCTGTGGCGCTCATATCTCAAAGCATAGAGCATGACGAGACGGACGGCGTCCAGCTCTGAGACACGAGGATTCTGCAGCAGCCTTCGTACATTCTGAGAGAAAACAGGTCTGAACTTCATGTAGTTTTTAGATGGGAAATGGTTTAGATTTAGAGATGGTAAAGAAAGTGAGTAATCAGCAGCGTTACCTGCTGAGCGCTAGAGTGATCATTCTGACAGGCCAGCTCCTGCTCCACCTCTGACACCTCCATTAGCTGCCGCTCTGCCACCAGCCGGGACAGCTCCCCCACCACCGTCACATGCTTGGAAACGGTTCCTGACATCTTCTTAAATTGGGGGTAGTTATCCACAAACGCCTGCGCGAGACGAAGAAATCAAACGTCTACATTCATTCTTAAAATAATGATTGATCCAATGACCAACCTTCATGTCAGCAATGGACTCCAGCTTCTGCTGTCCTTTAGGTTTCTTCTTCTGGAAATCTTCCATCAAGTTTTTAATGTTGGTGCCAATTTCCCCAAAATTCAGGTAGAGGTTCTAAAGTTGGAAGGAGGAAAAATTTAACTGAAAACACCAACAAGAGCAACACAGCAAAAACAGTTATTTAGACACGTTATAAAATGTTAAATCATAATTTCAGATAATTAGTTTCAGAATTGCTCAAACCAAATTCTTGATTTGTACCCTACAAGCAGAAAAACCTTTATAACTTGGCTGAAATGTCCTACTGTTCTTCAGACTATGGAGGGAATTTTGTTCCATTATTGTTGCAGCAGAGAACATAGTTTGTGAATAAACATAGAAAAGTAAAAAATAAATAAATAAAATTATAATAATAATAAACATTTTGTAAACTGAAAAAAAAAAAAAAAAAAAAAAAAAGAAATGTTAAAAAAATGTCATCAAAATACGGCTTTGTTTTCTCTTAAAACAAACAGAAAATGGATAAGAACTGAAATCACAAATATTAATCGGATAAACAAAAAATCTGTAGACAGAATAAAAATATAAAGTAAAGTAAAAAAAACATATAATCAGTAAGAAAATAATACAATAAAATTGTAACTAAATGTAATTAATATAAAATAGGAAAATTACTGTCAAAATCCTTTTTCTATTTAAACAGTTTTAAAGGTTTTTATTTCTGAATTGTAATTGTATTTTTTCAAATTTTTATTTAAATCTTCAACTTTTTTTTTTTTTTTTTTCAATTTTCCAACTGGTAAAACATGTTCTTTGCTTGCAACAATAGTAAAATAAAATTCACACAATTCAATATTTAAATACTTTTTAAAAACCAAAACAAGAGGATAAAGAACAACCGTCTGATTTTTGTTCACAATCAAACCCTGGTCTTAGTCGCTAAGACCTAGGAATATCTTGATTAAATACCAATATCATAAATCAGTCCGACATAAGCCTAAAAAAAAATATCAGAATATATAGACCTGCATCTAAAATCTCCAATATAAGCCTGCTGACAGAAAAACTCTTCATGCTTTTATCAGTTTCTGTTTGAAGCTTTGATAACCTATTGGATCCTTCCTAGAAACATCAGGGCAAAGGTTCCTAACAAACCCAAACAGGCACAAAGCATTAAGGCATCGGTTATTTTTTGTAAAAGCTTACAAGTAAGAACCAATCAATTAATTTGTAATGTTGTTTGTCCTAACACTGTAGAGACAAAGAGCATTGCTGTGACTAGTATAATTGACAATAATTACATTTACTCTGACATCCATCAACTTTGCAGCCATAACTGAATGCATGCACAGTTTTAGCCCCTGCTTCATTTAACACCAGCTTTCATATTGAATTTAAGCACAGGTTTTCAGCTTTTACGACCTGCTTTTCCCCTGGAAACCACGCTCAAATGTTCAAAATTCACAAGCAGCAGACGCTAGAGCTGGAAAAATAAAATTTTAGTGGCTTGAAGCGCCACATCAACCAATTAGAGAAGCTGATCTGGAGCTGGCAGGGAGACAGACAGTGTTCCTGATGCGGAGCGTTTATTAACGCCTAAATTAACTTAAAATGTCGAAACCTAATGGAGAAATGTTTGCTTTTATTATTCTGGTGCTTGCAGTTTGTACCGTATACCTCAAAAAATGCTAACATCTACTTCCAGCCGCGACAAAGAGTAGGAAAAATTCCCTTAGGGGGCGACCCGGCCTGAGGCAGCTGAAAAGCGAAATAACATTTTAAAGCAGGATCGTAATCTTGATGAACTGACTGCACAGGCGATGTTTGAGGTAGCACAGCAAATATAGCAAAGCCGCTCTCTGCCACTGAAAACAGGAGCAGCACAAGCCGTAGACGCATCTGTACACATCGGGCCTGTGTAAAAACATCAAAAATAAAGCAGCAGATGCTTTTTTGATGCGGAATGCGCGTGCGGTTTTAACATAGCGTTACACTTTCCGATTGTTTGAATTAACCTATAAAACATAATATTTTTGGTAATGATTCTCAGGCAACCAGGACATAGGCATTCCAAAACAGTTAAGAAACTATCCAGAGGACTTTGGCGTTTCACTTCAAATCCAGGAAGCTTTTTCAATTAAAAAAAAAAAACTTCCGGCATGGGAAGCGAAACTTGTTCAAACTTGGAAACAAATTCAAGTGGATGGTTTTAGCTGCATTCCAGCTCATAATGCAGGAAATAGTCTATCAGAGAGTCTAAATTACATATTTTTCAGGGGGAGGATACCCTCGGACCGCTAAAGATGTGATACACTAAGGTGTACACCCTATGAAGAAATCCTAGTTAAAAGCCTGTTTGAGCGCCATTCATACTAAATGTTTTTGGTGTTTTTCTTCTACTGGATGTTGGACTTTTCTTCTGGACTTTGCTGGGATGTGCTAGCTAGCTTAGCTACATTACTTCCTTGTTTACCCCCTGCACATTTTTTTGTAAGAATACACTAAGGGCTTCATTTATCAGCAAACTGAGTAAAAAAAAAAGTTAAGTCTGACAGTAAAGCTTTGTTTTCAACCAGAGAGAGCTGCTGGTGTATGAATTTCAAAAATGTCTAATAATGTTCCCATGCAGCTTTATGTTGTAAACCAGACCTAAATCAATCAGCCTGGATGTGTTATTAGTCTGAAGCAACCAGTCACAGAGTAAATTCGTCCCATCTGAAGTCAGTTAGGACACATTTATGGTAGAAAGCCATTCTTTGCTGTTTGTTTCTAGTACTCACGTTAGCATAAAACTCATCATTTTCCGCTGACAGCACCACCTCCCTCAGGTCTTTGCTGATTCCTGGGACTCTGGAAAGGTCGATGCGGTTGTTGTTCAGACCGAGCAGCTCGTGGACCATCGCCTGATACGTCCACTGAGAGACACAACAACGTCTCATGAGCAGAACATCCTTCACACACACAAACCTCCATCCAACACGCCTCATTTCAACTTCAGTTTTTACATTTTAAACAAAGCAAAGTGGGATTTTTTTTTTTACTAACTAGCATGATTACATTAATACATTTCACTTTAAAGAACAAAGACCTGTAAAAAAAATCTGAACATTTCAATCCTCATTCAAATATTATAGTTAACATCATTTTAAAATTGCAAGAAAGTATTAAGAAGCTGTGGGACTAAACAACACTTCTTTCAGATACGCAATTCAAATCAACAAGCTGCTTTTTTGCAGATTTTAATATTGAAATATTGATTTAAAAAAAATGAAAAAGTCGTAGATTCCTCTCAAAGCTTATGTATCAAAATATCTCTTCCTGAACAAATTATCTTGATATAATGATGAAGAAAAGGCTGCTTTTAGAGTTGCTAAGTATAAAAATAAACAAAATAAATGTTGGGATGTGACTTTAAAGGTAAATAGTTAAAATAAAAGTAGATCAACCAGCAGCAGCTGCTTTATCATAACAAATTTAAGGTTCAAACTGATCAGCTATATCATTTATGCACAAATATTCACTCACAACAACCTCTAACCTCCAAAAAGGCCTGGAGAGAGGGAGGTTTACTGCTGTTTCATCACCTTCACCTGTTAACCGATGAACTTGTGCAGGGAGACTTTTCTCATTCTTGCTTAAAACAGGAAATTGATTCATTAAATCTCTGGTTGTATTCTGTTCTTAATTGTGCAACACAGATTTAGAGTGGGAGACGGGTTGGGCCTGCAGGCCAGCCAACGTGCAGAGAGGAGCTTGGCATGATCCTGCTGTAACAAACACTGGTTAGTCCTTTTATTCTCCTTAGCTTGGATCACATAATGTCTAAGATTTCACTCAGACCACAGAGCCCAGTCAGGTTGGTCTATTTCAGGAGTTTGGGAGCAGAGAAACTGTCAGTTTTTCTGGGTGTTTACCATGTATGGCCATTCACTTAGCATGGTAGTTTATAAATTCACTCTTAAAGACAAAGGAACAAATCGTGTTATTTGACAGTAGTGTGCTGAAATACGGAAAGATGACTGTCATTAAATCATAGGCGTAAATGAACGGGACAACAGATCTGTGGGAATACAAGTTATGAATAAGAGTTAGGCGGTTACAGCTTTGCAAAAAAATAAAAGGACAAATCATAAATGCACGAATTTATGAATATGAATCCCAACTTTCTGAGTAAAAATCTGACGTTTATGAGCACAGTTGGCAGACTTACAGTTAAGAATCGTACATTTCCAAAGATGGAAGAAATACAAATAAAAACCTTACAAGTAAGAATCATAAATTTATGAGTAAACATCACAAACTAGTGATATCTGTCACAGACTGATGTTATTTAATGCAAAGCATCCCGAGGGTTCAAAGGTAAAAGCCTTTTAATGCCATTTTTTTTTACCGTTGCTTCTCACCTACAATGATTTCTCCACCTTCTCTGAATCTATTGCCGATATTATGAACAACAAATTATGAAATTACTTAAATTTATATGTAGAGAAAAGCTGTTTAACCTGTTGGACTATTTTATTGCGCAGAGCATAAAGTGGTGGACCTCCCTCTTTCCTTTTGCGTCAATAACTTTTTAGTGATTTTCCTTTTGAAGCAGTCAATGGTTTTAATATTTTAGACACTAAAACTTTCCCAGTCTTTCGGCGACACCATTCCAGCTATTTAGCATCATGTTGTGAGCATCCATTTCCAAATGAGTGAATCTTTGTTCAAAGTTTATCAGTTTGAACATTAAATACCTGGTCTTTTCAGTATGTTACATTGCTAATAGGCTGAAAAAGATTTGCAAAGCATCCTATTCTCGTTTTATTTATCTTCTACTTACTTACAAACTTCACTGGAACTGGAGTTGTATTTGAAAAACAACTAATCATCACAAGAAAATGAAAAAAAAAACCCTAAGGTATCGTATTGGAGGTGATTGTGGCTCTCTGATTGGTCACCTGGTTGAGCAGAGGCGTGATGGCGTCGTCGCTGCGGTCAAGGATCAACAGCAGAGGAGGAACTTCAGTCTTCCTGAAGTCAAACAGCTCATACTCCTTAGTGATGATTTGCTAAGAGCAGAAAGATATTTTAGAGAATTAAGAATTGTCAGAATCTCCTTTTTAAAGAAGCAACATGTTAATATGAGCCTTTATGATATTATTCATGTTATTTATTAGGATAAAACCTGAATCTTTCTGTGTTTATCATATTATATATCAGGTAAGGGTCAGAAAAAAATTATGGGATCATTCTTGCTTCCTTGAAATATTTCACCTAAATAAATAATATGATTATTACAAAAAATAAGGGTTTAATATTTATTAATTTTATTTCAGATTAGCTTTTTCAATATATTTTCACTGACTAATATAGGTAATAAGGCAGTTTGACTTTTATTGGTCTTATTTGTTTGCTTGTTTGTTAATATCCCGGTTAATAATTTATAAAAAAATAAAAAAATAAATAAGAAAAGAATAAACTTTTTTATTTCTAGGTGCATTTATCTTTTGATTCTCTATTATTAATGTAGAAAATTAAATTAATCAGTTACACAAACCTGTATTAGGAGTAAAGAACATATTTCAAAACCAAATTAACAGAATCATTTATTTGATGAATATTTTAGACAAACAAACAGGGATTATTTTTCCAAAATTTTCAGATTTTTAAGCTGTGAATAAATCTAACTTTGCGCTTTTTAACTGAGTGTTAATTCTAGGTAAGCAGAACATCTCTGCATAGGCTCTGCAACTTATTTTGCTTGTTTTAAAGGTTTAGTTTTTAGTCTGTGGTTTTTTTTTTGGATGTGCACATAAATTTGACTTGTCATCAGAGTAGAAACTCCTAGATCTAGTGCTGCTAACTTTGGGCTTCGGGAAAGACTGAGGAACATTAACGGTAATAGGTGGGGGTGGAAACCTTGACACTTTCTGCAAGACGTCTGGCCATGTCAGAGGACAGCTGGTAGCGGATCATCGGACATTTCTTCAGGGCGAGCAGGACGGAGGTCAAACCCTGAGTGCAGCGGGACAACATGGAGGGTTCCCAGCTCCGACCCTAAATAAAAAAAAACACAGGAAGTTCCTTAGAGCGGCATCAATCAGACAGTACCCCCACCACCACCACCAGCCCAGGGTTTAGTAGGTCATCGACCAATCAAGCAGCGATCAGAGTCCATCTTTTTACCCAATTTGTTAAATAAATCATAGGGAAGAACTCCAACCATTTTCCATCTTTAAGCAGATCACCAGCAGATGTTTTGATGCACTTCATCCAGAGTTTTGCATAAATGGCTTGATTCAAACATCATTCTCTACCAAAGAACTGGCAGAGAAGTTTAATCTATTTCAGGTATTATTGTCCTAAAAGAAGTAAATCAGAGACCCAGGTCACACCTACCGGAGAACGGTTTCGGCCGGAAATAACCTGATCTGTGCATCTCTAGTCGAGACACAAAGGCGATGAAGGTAAACATGAGGAACAAACAAAAAACCTTCAGATGAAGAGATGGCCCAACGTATCCAACCATTGTTAGACGTATAACTCTCTAATAGCAGTCTGTCTTTGTATATATTGTGGCTGAGACAGACCCGCCTTTTATCCAGCTGGAATTCTCAAAGACAAACTGCAGGCACTTATGATGAAAAAGAAGGGTCTGTTCTGAAGCCAAACAGCGATGATGCAGCAAACTGAACTTTAATAGTTGTTCTGTCAGCCGTCTATCTGAATTAGCTCTGATTTTTAAAGTCAACACAACATCTTTTCTGACATTTATCCATTTTTCCCCACACAGAACAGAAACAGCATCTCTTTATCACTGCACTAGTGTTATCGTCTTATGTTATAATTAGTCATTTACCTTTTTGTCATCCTTGTACTGTATCTATTAATGTTTTTATGATAAATATTTAGAGGTTCAGCTTTTTCGTATCGTTAGAAACCAAAGAGCTTCCATCTTTCTTACCCGAGAGACACCCTGCAGGTTTAGGGAAAACAGGTGAGGATTCACAGCGATGAAGTCTCCATAAAACTCCTGGAGAAAAAGAAAAACAACAAATACTTTTACATTTTTTTTTTCTTTAATTCAAACACAGCTTTTTCCAAAATCCTTTTTGGAATCTAACAACCATATGTTTCACATATAGTCATAATTATTCACACAGGAAGAGCTTACTTCTATTTGTAGGATAAAATTATCATCTCTAAAGATAATTTAATTTCAAGCAATATCCTCATTGGGTACGACACTAAGTGACAAACCCCACCGGTAATGATGAAGGAAGGGGTGAGTGAGGAGCTTAAAAACCAAGAAAACACACAATGGGAACTGAACAGCTAATTATTGCTCAGAGACTATGAGAGAAAGAAACCAAATACTAAATTTACTCTGATTTATAAGGACAGCAGCAATCCAGGGTCAAAACGGAACCAAAAAAGTATTCAACTATGCAATCCAGTTAAATAAAGGAGATAGATGCTAAGATGCTAAATGCTCCTCCTTTGCAAAGAGAGAACGAGACAATGGTAGCTGCCCTTCCAGATCGATGTTCTGCCCCGTTCTGGTTAGACAAAAGCTCCTCCCACTAACTTAAACCCTGCAGAAAGGCAGTGAAGGTAATCAGAGCACAGTTAATCAAAACAATTACAGACAGTTGGAGAAAATAGTAAAATGTTATGCATAAACCCTGAGAAAAGTCTAATGTAAAGACAATATTTTTCCAATGATTAGAAAAATTTGCCTGGTAATGGTTATTAAAAATGTTTTTAAACTGAGCAACGGTCTTAAAACACAAAGGCTGCCCATCCAAAGCCCATACTGATCATCAACCCATGACAATTCCCGTTGTGAATTAATTTGCTCAGAGGAAAAAGTGAATGTTTGGTTTAGATTTCCTTTCATAAAAACACCAGTAACAGCTGTAATTCATGCAGGGTTTCAACACACTACGATCATAAAGGATGCTGAATGTGTTGAATGCTTTGCCACTTAGGGTGGTGCATATAAAAAAATGAAATGCTATAAGGTGCAGGGCAGCAAAAAAAAGCATAGCTGCAAGACTATAATCGTAGAAATGTCAGGTCTATTTTGTTAAATGCGATCTGATCAATTAGAATATGACAAAAAATCACTTTTTTGTCATATTGGCTAAAACTGTCCCTATGCCCAGACAGCAGTACATGTGATATGTAACCTGTGAAAAAAACTGCTTCAATTGGTCCCGCCTACTGCCTGTATTTCAATCTGGAAAGAATAATTTGGGACGAGTCAAAACAACCAATCACAGCCAGAGGAGCGTCTGATGGAGTTACAATCACAGCTCACACACGCTGAATACCGCACCCCCCCCCACCCCTTCTGGTCGCATGCGGTAGCCGCGCAGATGCTGTGAGAGGGGTGGAGCTTGGAGGTGGGGCATGAGTGAAGCAGAGAGGGTGGGGGAGTGGCGTAAAACCTGTTTTTCTTCAAAATTTGAGTCTAAGTCTGCTCTCTTCTCAATGTTACAGACTGCAGCTTTAAGGATGCATTTTTCAAAGAGGATGGAAAAGGACACCTGAGGAACACAGAATCCCAAGAATGATCTCTCCAGATCTCACCTGGACTTCAGCCACCACCTCCTGTTCGTCTGCCTCAGCCAGAGCTTTGATCTCACTCTTACTGATCACATTACTGAAGTCTGAAACAGACAAGCATTTACAGATCAGAGGTTACAAAAAATACAAATAAATATTCCTACATCTTTGACTCCATTACACTAATCTTAAAGTAACGTACATATGAAGTAGACACTGTACTTTGGTCTTCTCAGTTCCTGAATTAGATGCTGCACATTTTCCTACGGGAAACACAGAAACAAATGTTTCTATCCCCTTTTTAATAACTTAAGGCTCCTCCTCTCAGATTCATAGACGAGCCTCGTTTGGGTACCTTAGTTGGACGAAGGAAGCAGATGGCCTTCAGGTGCTTCATGCTGTCTCTGTTCTGAGAGTCAATCCGTTCGAACAGGTAAACTTCCTTCTGCAGGATCTCAGACTGGGTGTACACCACGCTGACTATGCTGGTCTGAAAAAACAAAAACATGTTCAGCTTTATGCTCCCATGCTGAGCATCATCAACGCAGCAAATATTCATAAAACTATCCTGTGTGTCAAGACGGAAGAAATCAACCCTTAAAACCTCTACGATTTGATTATTTTTCCTCATGCCATTTTTCTCAACAGGGTTAAAGTGGTTGAATCTTTTTCTTGAGGATTAGACATGTCTGCAGTAAAAATAGAGGTTCTGTGGTCAATTTATTGGTGCAGTAATGCTTCACTATATCAATTTTAATTAAATATATTCCATAAGAAACAGTGAGCTCCCAGAAAGTAGAGGCTGAAATGAGTTAGACAGGGGGATGGGGAGGGGGAAATCTGCCAGGAGATTATATTTTGGGGGCTTAAGAATCCATAAACATCACAATGATACATAGTGACCAACATTTGTTTTCAGACTTTTATATAATACCTCAAACCGAATAAGAGCCTCCATAGGTCAATAAATGAATGAATAGATTCCACCTGTGTGGAGCTTAACCCTAGTGTGCATACATGTAAAGGCCTCAGAGGAAAGAGATTATTTAAAAAAACAACTAAATTGGAAAACTAGTGAATTCCTTAAATCAGTTCACAATACAAGAACAGAAAAAATGAAACAGTAAGAAGCTATTTCTCTAATTTGCCACAATTCACCCTGGGAACACAGAAAACAGGTGGAAAAATTAGCTCCGGTTAGAAGTAACTAAATAAAATAAACATGCACCCAGTATGTAGGGTTTGGAATAGCTGTATAACACAATTGTATCTGTAGATGTCTGAATTTGTAAAAGAAGGCCAATCATAAATGTAGGATTTGTATTTGTTCCTTTTTGTCAACTCATAGATACATGGGACATCAGCTCTGTGGGAAAACAAGTTTAAGAGGTATGAATACGTGTTAGAAAGTTACAACAATGAAAGTAAGAATCTCAAATTTACGAAGACAAATCATACATTTTCAAGTACGACTTACAAATCTGAGCTTTCATACCTCTAACCGTGTGATTCTTACTCATACATTTGCGAGCTGAACTCATAAAACTGTGATTTTTACTTGTATTGTTGCAATTTTGTGACTTCCTTATTTGTATTAAAAAAAATCTTAAACTTGTATTCCCACAGATCTAATGTCACATCTATCTTTTTTAATCCAGCTTTTTTATTGTCACTACACTGTCACAAGTAAAATGGAAATTACTCTCTGGGTTTAACCCATCCCCTTGGGGAGTAGTGGGCTGCCATTGTGCAGCGCCCAGGGAGCACTGTGGGTTTAAGGGTCTTTCCTCAGGGTGATGGTCTGCTGAAGTGGGACTGGAACTCCCAACCTCTGGATCACAAGCACAATGCCCTAACCACTAGGCCACCACTCTCCTTTTATTAAATGTATTGTCTTTTTTTTTATAAAAAGAAATCTAAGAATTGACAACAAAAAACTAAAATCTTATATATTTATTATTGACTTTCAAGTCCTACATTTAATTCAATTCAATTCAGTTTATTTATATAGCGCCAATTAACAACACAAGTCATCTCAAGGCACTTTACAGTTCACCAGATCATCCAGTCAGATTGATTCAAAGTTTTCTATCTAAGGAAAACCAGTTGATTGCATTGACTCAAATGCAATCCCTCACACTAAGCATGCTTGTAGCGACAGTGGAGAGGAAAAACTCCCTTTTAACAGGAAGAAACCTCCAGCAGAAGCAGGCTCAGTGTGAGCGGCCATCTGCCGAGGCCGACTGGGGTTCAAGGAGACATTTAGTTATATACTTGACTTTTATTTACAAATTCAGACACATACTGTTATATTACTCCATAGTATGCATGCTTTAAAACTAACAATGCACCTGATATTAACGGTGAAACAAGGTGGTAGCTTAACTAGTATAGAATAAGATTTAAAGCACCATCAGAGGAAAGCTGAAGAGGGGAGAAAGGGGGATGTAGGTAAGGAGCATATGGATCACAACATCTTTAACATCTTCAAATACCAAAACAAATCAGCAGAAACAGCACATCCAATCAGAACAGTGCTTATTGTCGCTTGCTAATGCTATTGAGTGATAGCACCGTACTGCTACAAACATAAATAAAAACGGCGTTTTAATAGCAAAATGATAAAACGGTAGCACACATGTACAGAACCAGCTTCTCACCGTCTCTTTGTCCATGAGCAGAACCTTCATTCCGGTCCCGCTGCTCTCGATCATCTTGGAGATGTACTGCTTCACCGCGAGCGTCACGTTCATGATGGCGACGCTGTGACACGAAACAGACACAGACCAACAAACAACGACTAAATCCGCTGTTAGATAGCAGGAGCACAAGTTCTGGAAGCTTATTGTGCTCGCTTTTTGATATGAAGAAGTATCAGCTGGGCTCTTGTGACACCAGTACAGTCTTCTTCCGGGTCTCTGACGTAATGACGTTCTACGTATTTTTTATTTTTTTTTTCTTCAGATAGACGCACTGGTGGAATAAACATATTGAATGCTGGATGCATAACCAGAGGTTTATTGTCTCAATCTTTACATCTTTCTTTACATCTCTGCTAACTATCTCTATCTCTAACTAAATAAGTAGATGGTTGATGCCTATTTAAAAGAAATTGTTCAATGTTTATGCTGTTGCCCTTTTACAAATGTATGTATTTGCACACATATAACTTATATTTCAGATCATCACACACATTTAATTGTTAAAACCCTATCTATTCGTATAAATTGCATACTTTTAAATTATTATGTAGCTACTGAGAAAAAGCTTGAAACCAACCTTCCCCTAAGTGAACATAATTGACTCACATAACTTAATTTTTGGTTGGGACAACATCTGTTATGACTGACAGTAAGCCTTTTATATCCCTGGGGAGGAACGGTGACCCCTCCTATGAAGGAAAGGTTCAATTTAGCCAGGAGTGTTTTCAAGCATGAACTGTGTGTTAAATCCCTCATGGGATATTAATTGGATTTAAATATGGACAATGAAGAGGCCACTCCTAAATCAATTACATACATGTATATATATATATATATATATATATATATATATATATATATATATATATATATATATATATATATATATATATATATATATATATATATATATATATATATATATATATATATATATATATATATATATATATATATATATTTATATATATACATAAAAAGAGAGAGGGAGAGAATAGAAAATACAATACGGTACAATGCAAATATAAATACTGTGCAGTCATCTGAAGAATAAATAATCAATATACGGCTGTGAACATTTTTACAGGAGTGGATATGGAAAAATAGCAGCAACACCAGAGATGTGGAAAAAAGCCGCAGCAGCATGTTATTTAAGTGACTAAGAGACAGCAAATGTTCCTTTTGGTCAGCAGTGGTTTTGAAAAAAGTAGAGGAAGGAGTGGAGATTGCCACTGATGCCATTTTTGCCCAGTCTTTTCTTCAATGATGAATAACAAACAGGTTTTACTTTTATCATATCGTCACCTTCTTAAAATAATTGCCTAAGTCATTTTTTGCAATTTTTCAGGAAACACAAAAAACTGAACCATTTGTTGAATAAATGATATTTACGAACAATTTTAATAAAAAAAGTTGTAACAACAGATGTCTTTTGACATACAAACAGCAAGGTCAGTCAAACATGGAACATGACAGAATTAAATGACTTAGGCAAATTTCTGAACATGCCTTTGTGACCTAGGCAATTTTACAGCACAAACTAACAAAACATAATGCTGAGGAGGCATGTGCATTTTTTCCACTTCTCCTTCCAGCTCTTCTTTGCTGAGTTTTTGTCTGATGCCTATTAGTGTGGCAAATTGTCAAAGAAGTGATGACACTCGACAGGCATGATGGGTTTCATTGACTGGAGGTCCTGGAACTTTCTCTCTTTGATTGATTAAATATTATTTAATCTGAGGCAATTTCCTTATGTGCTGTTCTGAGATCTTTTAATACCTCCTAGATGAGCCGATAAACATCTAGGCATGTCGTTTCTGTAAATGTTTATCACTATTACACTTGATTTGCTAAAGGCAGAAAGCTTTAAAAATGGCTTTGTAGCCTGGTCAAGCCATTGACTTAGTTTCTCATCTCTGTGTTAATCTCTTTAAATCAAGGCATGATATGCTCCTTTTTTGATTTTTTTTTTTTTTTTTTGCCTACTTCTTGTTGTCACTCTTTCAGAGATTTTGATATTCTAGACGAATTTGTCAGTCATTTAAGTTAACGTTTTGTCTGTAATGTATGTTAATACAAAATGTTACAAAACATTTGGGATATTTTCTAAATCAAATGCATTTATTTCTAGCAATATTGATGACTCCTTTTTTTTTTGAGAGGAAGGTATATTGCATTGAGATTTAACAATAAACTTTTACTATGTAACTTTTTCTATTTCTACTAGAGAAACTGAAGTCTTTACATGCTTGATAACTTCAATAATCTTTGGCCAAATGTTTCTTCCAATTTAAGTGATGTATAGAAATCTTAAAAGTATCTATTTTAATTAATCAATTGCTGATTATTAATGGAAAAAAAGTTTCCCATTTCCTTTCCTTATTTGGTATTTTTTTTGTTCATGTAAATTATTTTCTGTTTTACTGACAGTAGTTAGTGTATTTATAGTTGTAAAAGGATCATGAATACTAATTTAAAGTAGTGGCCCTATTTCACAAACCTGCAAATTTTAAATAATATAAAATTAATTTAATAAAAAATATGTTTTTATATAAATTATATTTCATAGAAATATGAATAATTCTGCATTTAAATTTTCCATGGTGGCATGCCTTAGATTTGGGAATAATGTCAATCTTAACTAAAATCAAGACTGTTACTAAGATGAAAAGTGACACATTTGCAATAAAGTGTTTATTCCTGTTGGAGCCTTACAGAATCTGAAATTAGAGTTTAAAAAAATAAAGAGCTGAGTGAGTGACTTGTCTAATCAGAATTCCACTTTTAAGGAACATTTTCTGGATTTTTTACTGGGAACTTGGACAATTTAACTTCGGAGAAAATCTAGAATGATATTTTTGTCTGCATTTCTGACACCAGATGAAAACAAAATTGCTGTCTGGTTTTACATTTAGATCTAAAGTTCATTCCACATTGATAAAAAAAAAATAGCCAACATAATAGATATTGACTTTTATGAGCCAGAGTTTTTTTTAATATATATAATGTTTTGTATAAATACAAATTATGGTTGCATTTAATCTATTTGTGAGGATGTAGCAGTGGTTAAATTAAACTAAACGTCACACTATTTAGAAAAATGTTTTGTTTTGGATACATTAATAGTATTGGCACTGACCAAAAGAGAAAACAATTGAATACAGATGTTTTTATTTCATTTTGCCTATGTGATAAGCAAACATATTTGTGTTAAAGCTACTCTGCTAGCAGCAGCTGAGAAAAAAATCTAATTTAATACCATGCTGTTGTTTACACCTAGGTGGTAATACTTATAAGTTTACTTGTATAATTGTAAAATTATATAATTTGAGAGAAATATCAGCTGTGCTGCTGCCATCAGCACCTTTGTTTATAGATGTTGGAGATTGGCCTGTTTTTTCCAGTGTCCTGTTTCTTTGACTGTGACTGGCTGGATGTGCTCTCTTCATCCTCTGACATGGGAGCTGGCCCAGAGCTCGTCTTCCTGGCTGTGTGTTTCCTGGACCGGTATCTCTGCTTCTGTCTCCTTGAACCCCCGTCGGCCTCGGAAGATGGCCGCTCACACTGAGCCTGGTTCTGCTGGAGTTGATGCAATCAACTTGCTTTCCTTAAAAATCTTACTTTGAATCAATTTGACTTGTATGATCTGGTGAATTGTAAAGTGCCTTAAGATGAGATGTGTTGTGACAAAATACAATAAAATAAAACCTGTAGTCAAGGTTTTAATCATCATCAAGTTGACATTTGATCAAAACCATAAGCAGTGGTGCTTCAGTCTATTTTATTGATGTTTACACAGATCTGACAATTAAAAAAACTATTTTTTTTTATAACCAGTCCATGTATAAGTGTATTGTTTATATTTTAAATGGAGGTCAGTGCTGATCCCTATCAGCATGCAAATGATACAAAAATCCTTTATTTTTTATTTTTGCTTACTCCTAAAACTGTTAAATGTCAATCAATTTTATTTTATTTTTAATCAAAATTGTAATTTTTTCTTGTTTTTTAGGCTAGGTATTTACAAATAACGCAATTTATCAATCACTCGATGTATTTCTTATAGAAAGTATGTGCATGCTAATCACTGTTAGCTTGCATTTCCTGCATTATTATTTTAATTAAATTAGCTGTTTAACTTCGACAAATTTCTTTTTGACAGTTTATTTGCATGCTAAAGATTTTTTTAAAATCAGCTTTTATCGGGTTTATCTGTTACAAGTAGGTACATGCTAACTAATGTTAGCATGCATGCTAACTATTGTTAGCATATACAAATCTGTCACTAAAGCTGCGAGTTATTTAATTTTAAACGTTCTTATTGGCTAAATTATTTGCGTTATGATTATATAAAATAACGCAAGGGGAAATCACTGGATGTATTACTTTTTATTTGTTGCGATTTCATCAAAAGGTGCAAGCTAATCCATAATGTGTTGTGTACATTAAGACTTCTTATGCACAGCAGAAAGTCAAAGATTGAGCTAATGTAAATGTATGAGTAATGAGTTAATTTTAAAATGGCAGAGAAAAAGAATATCACATCACAAAAAGATATTCGATTATTTAAGAATAACCCCAGGGTTTTAGCATGCCCGCAGACAGATGTCACTCCGCCCTGTCTAAACGTAGTTCCGACCAATGACAACTGCAACAGAACACAGGACGCGGAGGAATACGGTAGGGCTTTCTCAACACATACCAACCTCCAACGTGTTTTTTGTTGCTAACTGCTAACAGCAGAAATGCTGTGTAGGTTAGAGAATAATTATTCTTTTATTTTTTAAAACCAGACGTGAAACGATTTTAATTTTAATGGAATAATCATTTAGCTATCATATTAAAAGCGAAGAGAAGGTAAGTTCACGGGAAGTATGTTTGTCAAACTTATATCACATAGAGTTTATGAAATGAAACAGTTAGCTGCTCGGCTATTGTTAGCTTTGTTAGCTCAACCCTGAACTGGCTCAGAAAGGAGGGGGTTGCAGCTGGGGGAAGATCGTGCATGCAGGGAGAGCCCTTCGTCTTCTGGAAAACACGCCGGTATTATTAGGCTGAAAGTAAGTGTCAAGTTATTAACTTCAGCACTTAGCATGCTACATGGCTGTTTGGTTGGGGTGTCTTCTTTGAACAGTTTTTCAATGGTGCATTTGTCGGTTAGCTTATGTTGCTAATTGGAAAGCTAAGTAGATGATTTGTATAAATAGTCAATATCTCTGTAACAAAAGTTTTAAACAGCGTTTGGCAAAAACGATGGATAGGATTGGGTTTGCAAAATTTAAGAATGATAAAAAGTGAACAATTCGAATTGATAAGCAACAGTATCTGAAGTAGTGCTGTAATCTGGAGCTAACACCCTTTATATCTCAAATGACAGGTGTGATTTCTCTTTTTTTGTGGTATAGGTTGTGGTTGCATGTTGTCAAAATAACCAAATCTGGCGATTTATTAATACATATTTCAGTTTGATTCAGATTTTCTTCCCCCTTTTTCACTGTTGGAGAAAATTTCTCCTCATGTTTTGATCCACACATGTTGTTTTTGGATTTAAAATGGTTGTAGCTACAACACTATTAAGTGTTTTATATCTGATTTATAACATAAATGAACTAATACTTCATGCAAAACTGAAGAAAGCATGGTTTAAAAAAGATCACTATCTTTTATAATTCAAGCAGGTTAAATACAAAGCCCATCATATTCAGTAAATTATTATGGTTCAACGTTTTAAAGAACATTTCTGTTAAAATATAAAAATAATAAATCCAGAAACCAACCTAGAAATTCAAGTCTGGGAAAAGTAGAAATAGGAAGTAATAGAAATTCTATTACAAAAATAGTTATCTGGTTTTTATTTTACATATTTTTGGCTCAGATGCTCTGTTTGAGGGGCATAACATATATGAGCCTCCTGTTACTACCGTCTAAGTACATGTATGTTTTGCACTAGGGCTGAAACAATTAATTGGATTAATCATGATTAATTGATTATTGAAATCATAAACTAATTTAGTAATTGTTCAATCGTTAGTGGAGTATAGAGACTGTAAAACATGCTTTTAGCTGACAGAGCAACCCAGTTAGAGCAATAATTCGATCAAAATTGTAAAAAAAAAAAAAACCTATGTAAACATTTTGTATTTAAGATAAAAAAAAAAGTCTTCTCCTGTCAATATGCTAGTTTGTGTCTTTCCAGAACTCCTCAAATTGAAAAACTTGGTTTTCATTTGATTTAATTTCGTAAAAAAAATTTTTAGGAACCGTTGGGGATCCGGTTATTAATTGATTAATCTAACAAATAATCAACAGACTAATAGATTTTTAAAAGATATTTATTATTTGCAGCCCTATTTTGTACACACTTTAAAGTGCTACCTCACACTATTCAGATTATGATGGTTGTGTGTCTCTTTTGTAACTAGATATTCTCATATGATCTGAGTATTTTATCTCTGATGCAGAAATTCAAGCCCAAATTGCAATCCTGAAGAAGTGAAATCAAATATTATAAGGAATTAAGTAAATCAAAATCAAACTTAAATTTTAGTTTTGTGTGTGTGTTTATCCCTATTTTGCACGTGTCAAACTCAAAATGATTTAATAAAAAAAAAAGTATTTATTCAACTGCAACCTGCAAGTAATGATATTTGTTAAAGCTGAAGTGTTGCAACATTAAAGCATTCAACATCCCTTGTTATAATGCATCAAATACTTTAAATAAGGAAAGATAGATGGTTAAAGGAAATGTTATTTTAGGGCTTTAAAGAAATCTGAAAATATTAATAGCTTGAAACACAAGCAGGTATTTAAAAAAAATACATTTAATCAAGTTGTAGCATATTGATACCAGTTGAGAACACAAGTTGGTAAGAATCAGTGCTGCTCTTTGCTATTATTTGTTCTGCTGTGGGTGAAAACAGAATTCAGATATTTGTGCTGAATTGAAATGTCTTGAATATTAGATGTTCTTAAGGTGAGAGCTCTTGTTTTCGTCCGAGTTTATCTTGTATCTGGACTTGTTTATTGCTTTGAGCTCTTTTTATTACAAAATCAGGTGTTACCAGCCCCACTTGTTTTTAGCTAACCTTCAAAACAAACAGACATTGCTTCACATAGCAGAACCTTTTAAATCATTTTTAATTCCATGAGGAATGGGGTCCGTGCAGAGTTTTACCCTTGAGCTGGAGTTTCTCTTATTTTTTTCAATGGTTTAGATTTTGCTAATTATTCTGAATGAAAAGGGGAACAAAGATAAATAAACTGAGGGTCATAATGTACGTTTGATGTGTGGCTGCTGCCCTAAATTGATTCTCTTGATGTTGAAAGACCCCAATCATGGATTTAAGACTGTATTACTGTCCTACATTTTTAAAAGAAAGCAAGACATTTTGGTGTCTTAATATGCTTTGGTAGATCCATTCCAATTACACAGCGTTTACTGGCATAGATATCACAGCTGTAATCTAATTATTACTGCATTATAAAGGTTTGCTGTTTTTAAGAGCCACATGTTCTTTATTTACTTGCTGGGGGAAAGAATCTGGTTTATGTTATATTAATAAAAAAAAGAAAGCATGATTTTAGTTTAAATTATACATGCATCATATTAAACAGATGCATGTTGTGTTGCCATTGTCATTGCCATTTTATCTTATTCCTTTAACTTAAATTCTCATGTGTTTATAATCCTAAGCATCTTGATTGACAAAATGCAGATTATTTTGATATGTTCAACTTTACAGAGAGCAAGAGTGTTCCGTTTTTACCGTTTAGGCCTTTAAGAGAAAGGAACAATTAATCAGAAGCATAATACTACTAACGTGTTTTTTTTTGTTTTTTTTTTTTGACAGAACTTGAAATCAAGGGTAGGCACTTTGGACCTCAGATTGATCATGCCCTGATGTATTTGGATGTGCTAAAAAAGGCATCAGGCTGTCACAAAATTGTGCAGGGGTCAATTACATACCTATCTGTTTATGTCCGGTAAACTTCTGAAGGATGCAGGGCTTTGGCTGTTAAGGACTGGACTTAGCCGGCATCAGCCATGCTTTGTTTTAAGAATAGCTAAAATCATAAAACGTTTGAATTTGTGATTTTTATTTCTTTAGAGAATTTTTGTCTAATGCTACTGTTCTTTACACAGCTGCTGCATCCAGGTGAGGAGTTGAAAGCTGCAGCAGGAAGGGAAGGGCTGCTTACCTGCCGATCTCTTTAACTCCACGAACCACTAAGAACAGGACAGAATGGATGAAGGTTGGAGTTCAGAGTCATGTATTTATTTCAGTGTATCAGAGTGTAAAACAAATTTCTTACAGGGATACTAATAACTCTTAAACTCTTTTTACCGGTGCCTTTTTTATGTCGTTGCCCATTGATTCATTTTTGGGTTCTAAATATGTTATAAGTCATACAATCTAGTAGGGCTGGAAGAGATGACTTAAACATCTAATCTCTGTATTTTTTCTCTCTTTTTGTTATGAAAATGTCAAACAACTTGCATTACTTTCAAAAACTAGCTTTTATTTCCATCATCCCCTTCTGAAGTTGGCCTTAAGTTAAAGTGCAACAAAATTCAAGCTGTGAAAATGCTCTAAGACAATGTTTCATAACAAGCAAGGGAAAAATAACACTACATTTTTGCTGTTGTTGGGGTTACACAGTCAGCTAGTTCATAAGTTATAAATACACATCGAAGAAGGAAAAGTGATGAACTGATCTCCCACTGAACTATTGAGGGACAAAGAATTGATTGATGGGAAAACAAATCCTGACTTACCAAAAATCCAATCTTAAACCCATAAAATGTGATTAATTGCTCAGCTTTGTTATCCAGGAAGGCTAAATGTGTGATGCAGGAAATATAATATTACCACTGGGATGTTTCTTACAATGACATTAAAACCTGCATGTGTCCGTTTGCAGTAAAGCCTGCTTCTGTCAGTGTGACAAAACATGCAGGGGAAGGAACCCCTGAACCAGTCAGGATCATTCCCATCCCAGCCCAACCAGTGACCACACCATCCATTCCCATTAAGGTAGTGACATCTTTTCAAAATGATTTCCACTTAAATGTTTCTGCACCGGAGGCGCTGACGGATCATCTGTAGACTTTTAACTTGTGTCCAGTTTCAAAGTTGTTGTGTCTCCAGCCCGCAGGAACGACTTTGGGCTTTGCAGTTAATGGTCGACCCATTCATCTGCTACCTGGAGGTCAGTTTAAGTCTTTCTGAGTTGGGTTGTCTTGAGAAAAACTTTCAGGTTTCATGCTTGTGTGACCAATGTAGAAATGGGTTCTAGAACCGTCTTACAAGTTTTGTTAACGTGTGGTTTGACTCCATCATTCTGACCAAATCTTCTCTCCTGCAGGTAATGGTGCAGAGCTGAGGCTGCAGTCTCATCCTGAAGGTTCGGCCAGTGGCTTCACTACCATCCAGATCCCTGTCACCCTGACCCTCCACAGTCCCTTAGGAACCCGCTACATAAACACCACAGCCTCTCTGACTTCCTCTTCCTCCTTGGCTCGTCCACCTCCTTCTCCTGTTGTTGTTCCTTCATGTCCTCCAGGATCTGGACCTGTCCCCATCATCACAGGTAATAAAACCAGCTTTATGTCTAGAAACAATGTATTGTTGTTTTTTTTTTTAACTTAAACTTGATTATATTTTCTGGTCCAGGCGTGGTTTCGGGTGAGGCAGCCAAGAAGGTTCTGAATGACCACAGTGTGAACCTAAAATCCCCTTCTCAGAAGTCAGAAAAAACTCGCCCCTCTGCTGAAACCTCAAGCCCGAAACCCAAGAGATCCAGTTATAAACCTCGTCCAAGCAGGTTCGCAGCGCCTGAAAAACTGCTGCGCAAAGGTCAGAATTAGGTTCCAGATCTTAACTTAACTTTATAACTACATGGTTTTATTAGTTCATTACTGAAGCTTTTACAAAATATTGTTTTGCTACAATATTAATTCCTTTTATTTTTTTTCAGTTTGCCATGTTTTATTAAACTAATTTCTACTGTATTTATGTTTTGTTGGGATTTTATTTGAAATAATATCTTTAAATTGAGCCTAAATAAAGTACGGCATGTATTTTTATCCAGTCCCCTTGGTCAATACTTAATTATCGTTCTAAGCCTCCCAGGGTGCATTCCCACCAGACCAGGACATGTAGAGGCTGTAGGGTTGGATAAGGAGCTTTTGGGAACAGCTTTTATTTAAAAGTCTTACCACAAATTTTGGTGAGGACTTTAACTGGGCCATTCTCACACATTAAAGTTCTTTAAAGGATTTTGTAGTAGCTTTAGCGGTATGTTTACGGTCATCCTGCTGAAAGGTGAACCTACACACAAATTTAAAGCATTATTCCTTATAATTCAATCCATCTTCCCATTTGCAGCCATGTCCCAGTTGAAGGAAATCCTCCCCTCAGCTTGTCTCACTGTAATGGTTTTATGATCCATCCACTTAGTTTCACTTTTGCTCTTACCCACACATCTTGTAACAAATTATAAACCAGTCAACTTGGGTCTTTCCTTAAATAATGGCTTCTTCTTCCAATTTTCAGCGTATTGCTTTGTTGCGCAATTGGTTTTCCTGACAATAGTTTCTCCCACCTTACCCAATGTAATTTGTTTCTCTGATAAACATGGTGTTATGGTGAAAAGTCTTGATATTTGTGCCCTACTTCCTCCCTTTTTAAATAATCTGATCACATACTGAGATGTTTAGGATTCAGATATTTTGAGAACCTAACCAGGCTCTAAACCAGGGATGTCAAACTGATTCCAGAAAGGGCCGTGTGGCTGCAGATTTTCTTTCCAACCAAGCAATAGCACACCAGACTCCATTCATCTCATTAAGTCATCATGTTGACTAACTCAAGACTGGACTCACTTGATGAGTTGACTGGAGTCTGGTGTGCTATTGCTTGGTTGGAAAGAAAACCTGCAGCCACACGGCCCTTTCTGGAACCAGTTTGACGCCCTGCTCTAAACTGTATGATGCTATTCAGGTGTATCAGAATAAACACTGCATTCTTTGTATTTTACTAATGAAGTAATTTTATTCCCTCTTAAAAAATATATGCTAGGATGTTTTGTTTTTCTCTTAAAATCACACTAAAACAAATTAACGCTTGTAGTTCACAAAGAGCAAACTCAATACTCAATTGTGTCTGTTTTGTGTTTCTTCCCTCAGGTGAGATCGGAGCTGCTGCTCCTCCCGACTGTCAGCTCTGCAAATCTCAGTACAAGCTCATCACAGAGCTGCGAGGATTTATGTGTGTAAGTCCTGTAATAAAGCTATTATATACATACTTTTAGGGCCTGGCAATAAACCACATTTTTACCGTTACCGTCATCAACTATGATAACCGGCTCAAATTCTCCCATGATGGTAAATACTGTAAATAATTCTGCCGTTTTTTTTTTTTTTATGTGTGCGCTGATAGCTGGTATTTCCTTCCCCTTTAAGACACTGCAGTATATGGGGAATCATGTGACTCCACCGATCCAATTAGAAGCGTAAACAAAGAGAATGGCGGATGAGTCCAGTGAGGAAGTGTCTCACACAGCTGTAAACAAAATTACGTCAATTAATTCTGTGGAGCAGAGATGAAGCTGAGTGCGAAAAGAAGTTGTCGAGAGCACGTTGTCAGAGTTGAGCGTGTGGCAGACCGGTTTTGAGTGATGGTGTGCAAGTTTAAATGCACATTGTATGCTCAATGCATGCTCAGTACGGTAGCACCAAAATTACACCATAGATGTTTAGCAAAAGAACACCAAATGCAAAGTTTGTCTGGAAACTGTCTACTCAAAGTAACACATCCAGCCTCCTTCACCTACTGCACAGCCACGCTGTTGAGTTCAAAGATGTGCAAAATGCTCCATTACCTTTGAGCAAAAATGTTTGCAAGACAGGTTGCATTTTTCTACTGTTCAATGAGACATTGTTGAATGTTTTAAACTGAATGGGTACAAGACTTAAATATTTAATTGAAAGTAATATATAATGTAATTTATTCAATAAATAAATTATAAATAGATAAGTTGCATTTCCTGCACATGCCTTTATTTCTGATAGAGGATCATTTATCATTATCGAGGTAAAACTGCCCAATTTATTGTGATACTGATTTGAGGTCATATCGCCCAGTCCTACATTTTTTATATATATTCTTTTAAAGCAAATAACATTCCTCCTCCTGCTTCCTCAGATGTGTTCCCCCGCCATCGCTGAAGGTCTGATTAATATGAAAAAGCAGAGGTTGAAACGCCTCAGAAGGGTCAGATTTCTGAAGAAGGCCTTTCAGCTCAGTAGAGAACCTCCGTTCTCCGCCAAGGAACCCCACATTCAACAAGCAGTTTTCTCTCCAGTGAGTTAATACTTTCAGTACAATTATTTTTTTCATTTCTGGGAATTGAGCTGATTATTCAAAGCTGAGTAGTTGAAGTCCTGCTGTTGTCTTTGACACGCATTTTTGGACATAACTCTGTTTGTTTTGCCTCCTTAAGCCTAAAGTCCTCACTCCTCCTCGGAGAATTCGCACATATTCTGATGACAGCCAGTCAGATGAGCATAGCGGCTCTACGAGCCCCACCCTCAGTCCAGGCGGCCAGTTACAACTAGCAGACTATCCTCCCAGTAAACTGGTGATAATGGTGGAGGATTTCTTTTATGGCCGTGCCCCTGGAATCAGCACAGATAAAGAAAGTCTGCTGGAGTTCAGAGAAGGGTTCCACTGCATCCACTGCTCCACCGTGCTCAGCAACAACATCAGGTGAGATTCAAACATGAGACATGATGACAGGTCAACTTCCATCCATCCATCTGTGCATCCAGAGCATTTCCTACATCTTATGTTTAAAGCAGCAGATTTGTCAAATTGTACTAAAACGAAGTGAGAACCAAGGAATTACAGAAGAAATGTGTTGAAACTAGGAATGGCTGGTATTAAATACTAACCTTCAATAAAAATATTGCAGTGTTATAATAGCTCTAAATTATGTTTCTTTTAAAAAAATGTCCAGAAATGAAATGTAAATTAAATAATAGCTGAATAATAAACAGATCTTCAGCATAATCTCTGAAGTAATAGTTAAGTTTAGCTTTCAGTGGAAGCTGTTTTAAGTCACCAATGTCATAATGAAAGTTCCCTCCCTTGCAGGGTCCCACTCCCTTTTAAGGCTGATTTATACTCAGAAACCAGGTCGTCTGTGTGTCGCAGTGAACGCAAATGTGCGTCCGTCCCTTCCGCAGACACTCTGCTGCACCTCTCCAAAATCGTAGATGACCGCAGACAGTGCCTCAGACAGGAGGCCTCTGATTGGTCAAATCTACATCCGCTCTACAATATGTTTGGTACATTACCGGCTTGTTTTGTTTGTATGACCACCATTGTGGAAAACGACTTGTGAAGATAAAGGCTAGAAGAGCGAGGTGCGCGAGAATGCTGGGACCCTTTTTCCACCTGGATCCCCGCTCTTTTTCGCCCTGCTGTCCCTCCGTTGTCGCACAAACTTGTCCCCACTTCCTCACTGCCTCGGCCGTATCCACACCCACAGCTAGTTCATATTTGTCCCTCTTGTGTTGTGGCGTGGAATAACATAGAGCAGACCACGCTTCAATATTGGGCATAAATCAAAAATATCTGTGACGTATATCTGTGAAGTTCACTGCTGCGGGAGTATAACCAGCCCTGTAAAGGGAGCACATTCATATGTATGATTTTTGGAACCTAGTGCTGCTTTAATAGCTGAGGCATTCAGGGTTTGCTGAGCGACAAGTCTTTATGTCGAGTTGGGAGTTTTTATTGTGTTTTACAAAGAAAGCTTCAAATGAAATACCTGAACGTTGGTGTATAAATTTGATTTTTTGTTGCATGTACAAGAAAGCACCAGAAATTACAATTATGAAGCAAAGTACCTGGCTACAGGGTTTAAGTATGTTTTGCACTGATCCAGTTTTTCCGCAGTCTAATCTGATACCTAGGCAGAGGGTATCAGCTGATTTTTATTACCAATTCAATTCAACTGTTGAATGAATGAGCCATTAATATTGCCATTTGAGTGAAGGTTTAGGCATAATATAAACATGTTAAAAATTAAACAAATTAGCACAGATACAGTGAGGTAAATAAGTATATTAACCCCCTGCTATCTTGCAAGTTTCCCCACTTAGAAATCATGGAGGGGTTGGAAGTTATCATCATAGGTGCATGTCCACTGTGAGAGACATACAGGTGCTGGTCATAAAATTAGAATATCATGAAAAAGTAGATTGATTTCAGTAATTCCATTTAAAAAGTGAAACTTGTATGTTATATTCATACATTACATACAAACTCATATATTTCAGATGTTTATTTTGTTTAATTTTGATGATTACAAATGACAACAAATGAAAATCTCAAATTCATCATATCAGAAAATTAGAATATTGTGAAAAGGTTCAAAATTGATGGCCCCTGGTGCCACACTCTAATCAGCTAATTAACTCAAACCACCTGCAAAAGCCTTTAAATGGTCTTTCAGTCTAGTTCTATAGGCTACACAATCATGGGGAAGACTGCTGACTTGACAGTTGTCCAAAAGACGACCATCGACACCTTGCACAAGGAGGGCAAGACACAAAAGGTCATCGCTAAAGAGGCTGGCTGTTCACAGAGCTCAGTGTCCAAGCACATTAATAGAGAGGCGAAGGGAAGGAAAAGATGTGGTCGAAAAAAGTGTACAAGCAAGAGAGATAACCGCACCCTGGAGAGGATTGTGAAACAAAACCCATTCAAAAATGTGGGGGAGATTCACAAAGAGTGGACTGCAGCTGGAGTGAGTGCTTCAAGAACCACCACACACAGACGTATGAAAGACATGGGTTTCTGCTGTCGCATTCCTTGTGTCAAGCCACTCTTGAACCACAGACAGCGTCAGAAGCGTCTTGCCTGGGCTAAAGAGAAACAGGACTGGACTGCTGGTGAGTGGTCCAAAGTCATGTTCTCTGATGAAAGTAAATTTTGCATTTCCTTTGGAAATCAAGGTCCCAGAGTCTGGAGGAAAAGAAGAGAGGCACTTCATCCACGTTGCTTGAAGTCCAGTGTAAAGTTTCCACAGTCAGTGATGGTTTGGGGTGCCATGTCATCTGCTGGTGTTGGTCCATTGTGTTTTCTGAGGTCCAGGGTCAACGCAGCCACATACCAGGAAGTTTTAGAGCACTTCATGCTTCCTGCAGCTGACCAACTTTTTGGAGATGCAGATTTCATTTTCCAACAGGACTTGGCACCTGCACACAGTGCCAAAGCTACCAGTACCTGGTTGAAGGACCATGGTATCCCTGTTCTTAATTGGCCAGCAAACTCTCCTGACCTTAACCCCATAGAAAATCTATGGGGTATTGTGAAGAAGAAGATGCAATACACCAGACCCAACAATTCAGAAGAGCTAAAAGCCACTATTAGAGCAACCTGGGCTATCATAACACCTGAGCAGTGCCACAGACTGATCGACTCCATGCCACGCCGCATTGCTGCAGTAATACAGGCCAAAGGAGGCCCAACTAAATACTGAGTGCTGTACATGCTCATACTTTTCATGTTCATACTTTTCAGTTGGCCAACATTTCTATAAATCCTTTGTTTTTATTGGTCTTCAGTAATATTCTAATTTTCTGAGATGATGAATTTGAGATTTTCATTTGTTGTCATTTGTAATCATCAAAATTAAACAAAATAAACATCTGAAATATATGAGTTTGTATGTAATGTATGAATATAATATACAAGTTTCACTTTTTAAATGGAATTACTGAAATCAATCTACTTTTTCATGATATTCTAATTTTATGACCAGCACCTGTAATCTAAACATTTTTTTTTTTCCAGAACTCATGATTTTTTTTAAAACTATTATTATGATACAGCTGCAAATAAGCATTTGAACACCTATCAGTTAGAATTCTGACCCTCTAACACCTGGTAGTCTGCCTTTAAAATGTCCACCTCCACTCCATTTATTATGCTAAAATAGATTAACCAGTTTGAGGTCGTTAGCTGCACAAAGGCTACTAACATGGGCAAGACAAAAGTCTCCATAGAGACCATAGACACTAGAGACAAAACTGTACACCTCCACAAGGCTGGAAAGGGCTACGGGGAAATTGCCAAGGAGCTTTGTGGGTCCACTGTTGGAGCAATCATTAGAAAATGAAAGAAGCTTAAGATGACTTTCAATCTCTCTTTTGTGACTGTTCCTCCTGGCTTCCTGCTCGTCAGTGGGAAATGTTTACCAACCTTATTTCCTTAAGTCCAAACTCCATCTAATCCGCTGTGTGATGTGAATGCGGTTCATCTTTGATGTAACATTAAATTCTCATTTTTTTCTGTGCGTGTGTGCAGGTTGATGGATCACATGCAGCAGCACATGTTCACGTTGTCTCAGGGAGACGGGCATGTCGACGATGGATCCACCTGTCCAAAGTGTTTCCGTATTTTCTCATCTCCGCTCAGTTTAGAGTCCCACATGAAAGATGTCCACAGTGAGGACGAGTTAACAGGTCTGTTGGTACACTAATGATTATTACATTTTTATTTTTGGAACTGATGTGTGGCTCTTACATTTATCCATATTTAAGGTTTCAAAAGATCAAGGTTTTCTGTTTAAAACTCCCGTTTAACTCATGTTTGTCAAATGGTTATCATTTTATCGTATGTCATTTATCAGTTTGGCTTCCGACCTCATTATTCAACGGATACAGCAAACTGTTATTTTGTTGAACAAATAAAGTTGGCAATAGATAGTGGGGAAATAGTAGTCACAGTCTTTTTGGATCTCAAAAAAGCATTTGATACATTAAATCATAAAATTCTAATTGCAAAATTATCCAAATTAAATTTTTCACCTAAAACTTTACAGTGGTTTGAATCATACTTAGAAGGAAGAGATCAGTGTGTCACAATAAACAACGAAAAATCATAATTTTTAAAGATAAATACAGGGAGGTGCTACAGGGATCCATCCTTGGCCCTCTACTCTTTACATTATACATTAATGACTAGAGGTGAGTATTGGCATGAGTGTTGCGATTCGATACATGTCGCGATACTTGGGTCACGATACGATATTATCACGATATTGCAGTATCACTATATATTGCCATATTTTCCCCAGCTATCAAAATCAAATGATGAGATAAAACAGCAAGTGCTGTATATTTTCATCAGAAAATATTGATTAGGTATTATTATCCATGTTGTTTGGGGTTTTCTTCCACTGTGACTGCCTCAAATACAGATTTGGTGCTGCACACACAGTTAAAGGGCTCCACAGCGCTTTCTGCTAGAGTGGTGGTGCAGAGGTAGCCCATTTTCCCATCAATGTTTTATGTAACCTTTTTATTTTTTTTTAAATCGATACTAAGAAGTGAAAGATCGATATTATATTGGGAAGCCGAATATCACGATATATCGCCAAAACGATTATTTCCCACACCCCTATTAATGACTTGCCAGAGTCTTGTCCAACAGCAGGTTTTCAGTTATATGCAGACGATGCAGTAAATTATGTCCATGGAAAGACTGTGCAAGCAGTTTCTAATGAACTGTCAGGACATCTACAAACTGTTTCAGTGTGGTTCCATAATGCAGGGCTGTCTCTGAATGTTCTCTTCTAGGACCAAGCCTATATCTCAGGAACTAAATTTACAGATAAATGAAGCTAGAATCCAGCAGGTCTCAGAAATCAAGTATCTAGGACTAATACTTGACTCACAATTGAAATTTGACAGCCATGTAAAAAAAAGTGTCCAGAGTAACAAAAGCAAACTTGTACACATTCAAACTGATTAGAGATTACCTACCTTTTCACGCTGCTCACAGTTTTGTGCACTCCATGATCTTTTCCCATCTAAGTTACTGCATTAGTTCTTGGTCACAGGCCACAAGCACTACTATGAAGCCTCTTCAGATGATATATAATAGAGCTATAAAAATCTTAGATAAAAAACCAATCAGGTCCAACTACTGTGTTAGTCTGAACAATTTGAAAATGCTAAATTTGGAAAACTTTGTCAAATTTGCTAAGTTAAAACTGGTTTACAAATGCTTGCATGATCAGGCCCCTGAGGTTTTCAGTGACTGTGTAGTTCCTCTCAGAGCTGTGGGCTCAGTCACAAGAGGAGCTCACAGAGAAAACTGTCTAGTACCCAGATGCAAAACGTCCATACGACAATCAGCTTTCACTGTACAAGGCACCAAAACATGGAATACATTACCTGCAAAACTAAAGGGAGAGTCAAACTGGGTCCTTTTTAAACCTAAACTTAAAGACTTTTTATTGAGAGGTCAGACATATGAACATTAATAATCTAACTGTCCTGATCTTGTATCTGTGATGTTTTAGTGTGTAATTTGTTCTGTTGTGCCTTGTGTACAGTCACTGTGTTTTGTGTAAAAGCCTAAATGGGGACAGGCATTGAGAATTAGCCTTAGCTAAAATGTTGTAGTGTGTGACATGATTCATGAAACATACTTGTCCCTATCAAATAAACGAATAAATAAAAAATAAAAATATTTCTATAGCCACAGTTTATTATTGGGGTTAACAGAGACCTGGACTCTAAGGCCAGAAAACAGACACAAGCTTCATGTTAATGTTTTCAGGTTCTTTGTTAAATAATTGCAATAAACACCCCTCTGTCCATTAATACAATAACTTATTTTCAGATTGATCTAAATTTTTTTCAATCCATGTTTTTCTTGTTTAAGAACTGGTTTGATCCATCGATCTCTTCATATTTCCATCCATACATCAAATTTTTTCCATCCATATGTTAAATATTGTCTAAAAAGGGCCAGTTATCAGCACCTTGCAGAGAACAGAGATAAACATAATATCCAAATCCGCTGAAGTGGATTAACCAAGTTAGTTTAGAATATCCAACCATTTGAGGTTATTGGTACCTTAAAGAAGATTTGATACCAAACATGCTGATTAGTTCCAAAGTTTCCTAACCTGCTGAGAGACTTGACAAACCAATATTTATTTGTTAAAAATTAAACTTTAATCTCCTTATTGACGCTCTGTAATTGTTTTTCTGTTGTTGCAGTGATTTGCAAGATCTGTGAGCTCTCGTTTGAAAATGAACCTGCCCTCCTCTATCACATGAAGAGCACTCATCAACCAGGAGAGATGCCCTATGCCTGCCAGGTCCGTCACAAAATGCCCGTACTAGAGCCTTGGCCTCATCCTTAAAGCTGAAACAATTATTGATTATTTAAACGGTCAACTTAGTTTCTAATTAATTGCCAGCTTTAGTGTACTGACGCTAACCGATGCCATTAGCTGGAAGATGAACAAACTCAGAGCAGTGATTGTGCTAAAATTGCAAAAATCTAAACACTGCATATAAGAAAAACCTTCTTAGTCCTGCTTTGTTTTAGAAATCCGCTGTAAGACACCTTTTGCTATCCAATTATTAACCAATCAATTGTAAAACTATTTGATGGAGTTGCAGTCCTACTCGTCAGCATCCCTACCATCTGTCACTGATTACTGCTCTCTTTCTGCAGGTGTGCGAGTTTCGGTCGTCCTTCTACTCTGACGTCTGGTCCCACTTCAGAGAGGCTCACTCTGACACCAGAGACCTGCTGTGTCGATACTGCCTCAAAGTTCTGCACAGCAGCACCTGCTACCAGCAGCATTTTGCCCGGCATCAGGTAAACCCATCTGCTGAGTAGCTAAAACCAAGAGGAACGTCCCGCTGTGAGATCTGCTGCTGTGCAATAATGCCGTTTGTGTTTACAGAAAAAACAGATGCTCAGCTGTGACAAGTGTCGACTTCACTTCCTGTATGTTAGAGAACGGGCAGAACACAAAGAGTTGTATCATAAAACTCACGTCACTCCCCCTCAGCTTAGTGGACTCAAACCTGGAACCAAGGTACGTCTCATCTCTGCACAACCCGGATAGAGTCTGTCAGATTATTATTCCAAATTCCCTGTTCTGGAAGATTATTGCCAAAAGAAAAAAAAAAACTGATATTACATTTTTTTTCAGCCAAATGTCACTTTTAGGTCTTCTAGTAATCATCTAAACACCGTTTTAGCTTCCTACAGAAAAACTACAGAACTCTAAAACCAAACAAGTTTGACTAAAGCTGGGCGTACACTGTGTCATTTTCACAGCGTTTTCCAGTCAAGCGAGAATCTTTCGGTCGGGCCGACTTTCAGCCTGATCGTGCGTCGTGAGTTGTGTAGTATACAGGGTGTTACGAGCGGCAATTAGCCACTCACGACCACCTCCTGATCAGGAATCTTGAGGCCGTGACCGTCATGGGAAAATCGCCCAGGGCGCATGAGCAAAGAATTTCTTCTTTTTATTCTTCCTTTCAGATGTAAACACAGCAGCGTGGCAGGGACGCAATGAGTGAAATGCAGTTCTGTCTGTAAAATTGACAACCGTAGTAGCCACGTTTGCTCAGCCAGGGCAAGTCAGGGCTTTCAGCACAAAATTGCCAAGGCAGCTCGTTTCACTCTAGTGAGCTTCATATTCCCCTTCTACTGTAATTTTCGGACTATTACCGCACCTGAATATAAGCCGCAGAAGCTAGATTGCATGATTTGTACATATACAAGCCGCACCGGACTATAAGCCGCAGGTTTTTTATGTTTAACCCAAACTGTCTTGCACTCGCAATGTCCGCATCTTTCTCGAGGTCGTTCTGTCTCATACCACTTGCAGTAGAAGTCTGCTTCCGGTGGACCTCCACATCCCCACGCGTGCGGCTTCCGTACTTATGTGTTAAAGCAAATGTGACGTCAACATGGTGGATGGTAAAATCCATAGATTTAGGTATTACCCTAGTGGCCGTTAGCTGTAAAAGTCCATAGATAAGCTGCATTGTTATATAAGCCGCAAGGTCGAAAAATGGGGAAAAAGTCGCGGCTTATAGTCCGAAAATTACGGTATTTGTTTGGCTTCCGGATAGACGGGTCAGAGCAGCTCCAGCTCACCGCAGAGCCGAGTCTGACATGGTTTTTAGTCGTGCAGTGTGAGCAGGCAGATCGCATTAAAGCGTCGGGTCGCACATACATTGTGAGCTGTAAGCTCACACTGTACGACTAAACCCACTAATTTGCACACTGTCTTTATAATTTGCACACTGTCTTTGTCCTCTGCACTGTTTACACTTTGACCACTGCTGCACTTTTTGTATAACTCGTGCCATTTGAAATATCAATGCAATGCTCATAAGCTGTATGTAACGCAATTTCGTTCTGTATGCACTCTGTGCATACAAAATGACAAATAAAGAAGTCTAAGTCTGATTAGTTGTACAGTGTGAGCAGTAGCTGCGTGCAACGATTGAAAAATTCACACAGTGTACGCCCAGCTTAAAAAGAGAACCGTGATCTTACGTACATATAAAGTCTGCAAAAATATTTTCCTGCTCTGAATGAAAATCCCTTTATTCCCTCATCCATTTATCTAAAACTGCGTTCACTAATCCAATCAATCATCCACAGTTTTATCCATCACCAAATCATCCATCCATTCGTATATTTAGACACCCATTGATTAGCCCACCTCCCTATCCTTCCATCCAGCTGAAAGTCTGTTTCATTTATCCATTAGTTTCTGTCCGTTGATCTTGGGTCCATCCATTTGTCTATTTTCCTGATGATCCATGAGTTTGTCCATCATGCATCTATCAATACATTTATCTTTTGCACATTCAGCTTATTTTTTTTTACATTATCAGCTAGAGGAAAACAATTTAAACCAAGATAAAATCTTAATGGATCAGCAGTGTTTTTTAAACCTTTAGTTTGTATTTTTAAAAGTTTCAGAAATCAGAAATTCTCTAAATAGGTTTTTCCTCTGGATTCAATCTTGGTGGATATTTGTTCTGATTTAAACTTGGGATCATGATTTAACCTTTTTGTTTCTTTTCAGGTTACTGTTCGGATGTATTCTGTAGTTGGAGCGTCTGAAAGGAACAAGGAGCTGAGCAAATTGTACATTCCCTCAAAGGTTAGCGGTGTATTTAAATACCTCACCAAAGCCTTAGAGCCATGGCATACAGTATTTTTTTCCCCCTCTTTAATGTCTTTAACATTAAAGACTTGGTTCTTCTTCAGTTTGTGGATGTAAAGTCAAAGCTTTTAAAACAATAGCAGGAGAAATTTTTTTTATAGAGTTAAGATTGAAATATTCTAGAGAAGTACATTTTAATAATCAAATCCACCTTTATTTATAACGCTGTTACAGAACAGAGGACAGGGTAAACTGGAAGCGATTGAAGTGATGGCAACATTTGAGACATGTGCTCTGGTTTTGTTGGACCAGTTTAAAGCCAAGCAGTATCTTTCCTACTCATATCAGTTAATTTATGCCTGTGTAAATTCTCCATCATCCTGGTCTTGGCAAACACAAATAGGGTTAAAATGGAAGGCAACAAGATACTCAGTTTTTTTTTTTTAAGACACTTAACATGGAGTCTTTGTCTAGTCCAGTCTCCTTCAAATTTAAGTCTGTTTGTGATCAGTTGATTTACTGACTTCTGGCTGCCATGCATGAAGTGCTTTCAAGAATCTAAACAAGTTCCGATAAAAACATTGATTAAAATCTCAATGTGATGCAAATGAAGAAATCATTTTGCTCTGGTCATTTTTTTTAAATAAACAAGCTAGAATTAATCAAAGAGCTAAGCTAGAGGTCTTATTAAAGACTAAAACCAAAGTTATACCAAAGTTTGTTGCTGAAGGGTCATACATAGACTTATGAGATATCAACTAGAATTTTATCAGTTACTTGGCTCAAGCAACCAAACCTTCGCATTAAAGCACAAGAAGTTAAGAGACATCTATGCCTTAATTTCTACAACAGCATAGGGTTTAGACATCCAACTACTGCACTCCAGTAGATAGTTGTCAGGAAGTATTTTTCTGATTTTTGTGGGGCATAATTCTGGATTTTATTAGCATAACAGTGGGAAGCAGCACCATACTTTGAAAAGAATTGTATCAAGAGGAAGCAGGTAGAGTGATAAGAGAGGAGGTCCAACAAGAGATCCCTGCAGATATTACATAAAAGCGCTTCTCTCTGTTCAATATGACCTAATCCGCTTCGTAATGCAAACCCAGCCGTCCAGTCAACAAACAAGAATCTGATAGTCCATTATAATAAAGACAGATCTTAGTAGCCTGACCGGATGTCTTGATTTATGTGAGATTGTCCTGCATTTGACCGGGCCAAATTAGAAATAGGTGCTCTTGCTAAATGCAAAGAAAGCAGAGCTGCATGAGTGGCCCAAATCATAAACGGAACAGGTAAATGGAAAATATGGTTTAAAAAGAATAAAATGCTGCTGCATTAAGACTGGAAGGGTTTATAACTGGGTGAGCCAGTAACGGTGATTCTCAGAGAGCTTCCTGTGAAGTTTGCCAAGGTTATTTTTAAATTTGATACGAGGGGAGTGGGATGTAAAGCAACACTGTAAAAATGAGTCGCAAAAGAGACGCACAGCTGAAAAAGCAACATCTGATCGCCCTACTTGTTAGGTCTGACAGAACTAAAACCACAGAGTGGCCAGTTTGGCTAACAAAATAATCCGGAGTCAAACAGCCACCCAAACAGTCCGATTTATTGTTGTTTTATTCCGCCACCCTTGTTATTATACCAAATATATATTTCATATCCTTCCTGAAGTTATTATTATTTTTTTATTAATATTGTATTGACAAATTCTAACTATCATTATTTATTTTTTCTTTGCATTATTTCTAATTCACTGAGGTGTATGTGTGCATGTATATGAACTAGGCCTGTACTTTTTTTAATTAGGTGTTTTATTTTTTGATGTCATTTATTTTCCTTTCAAGGTCTGCAACTTTTTCTCTTATGTTATTATTTTTATGCTGCTTGTTTTACAGGTGGTCGATGTTGCCCCACTCCCCGTCGAACCGGAAGTTCCCGAGGAGAGACCAGCGGAACGTCTGGGAACGCTTCTCTCTGGTCTCAAGGCTGGAAGGTAGGACTATTTTAATCCATCACATCACATCTTCAAGTCTTAGTAAAAACGTATCAAAGGAAAAGAAAAACTCTGGGTATTACGAAGTAAAACAAATGTAAACTCCTTTTTTATCCTTAATGTTTTAGCCAGGAATAATTCCTCAATGAAACGTTTAAACCAGAGGTTTCAGGTTTCACATTGACTGATTTGACCTCAGTGGATTTTAACAGAAACAAATTGCTTTATATTAATGTGTAATAAAACTGTTGCAGGTTAAAATTCTGAATAAAAAACATACTTATGGAAAGCAACAGCAAACACTTAAAGAAAAAAAACAGTAAAGCCTAAAGTTCTTTAATCCTAAAAGCTTTTTAACTGTTAAATGTTTATTTCAGGTCTAACTTTGAGGCATGTAATAAATAATTGGATGGAAATAATGTCCTATCAACTTCCTCTGATCATTTTTAACTCACGCTTAAATGATTCCTGTTCCAAGTTGAATCCTTTCAGGGTTCACAGAGGTTAAATCCCTTCAATTTCCTTCAACAGCTGAAAAGTTTACATTTCTTTATTTAATGATGAACAGTTCCCAAAGTAAACATCACAGATCTGTGACTAATGGCTCTCAACGGAGGAAGATTCTTGGACTGTAAGGTTTATAAACAGTGTTTAATTTATATTCATGTAGAATAAAAGACTAAATACACAGTTTGATTTGTATTTTCTTCTGTGGACTGAACACTGTGTATGATTTATTTTGTTTTTTGTTTTTTTTGGTCTCCTTGACATTTCTCAGTTCCTAAATTTAAATCAACTGAGGCATAAATTAGGAATGTTTAAAACTGCACATAAATCACTTTAATGTCATGACCTCAGTACAACAGTATAAACCTTTGTTTCCGTCTGTTTATAGCTTACCAAGTGGCTCTTTATGCATAAATGCTGACCTGGGCGGCCTGAGATATTACTATTTTTTAAGGAAACTTGTTTTCTCCGTAAGCCTCACAAACCCAAGTGTATTTTCTTTTTTAAGTGATAAAGTTAAAGCGTTGATTTATTTAGTGAGCTGCTGAAAAAGTAGTTTTTACCTGTTTTGCTGCCTCTTCTTACAGTAGAGTCCTGCATCTGAAGCTTCCATTGAGCCTTTTAGTGATGATAATGAAATCTACATCATTTTTTTTAACCCATGACGTTTGTTTTAGTTTTGCTTGAGTTTGGATATTTAAGTAAATTATTGTATTTGAATTACATTAAATACATTGAATGAAAATTGAACCAAACCTGCTGGAACTTAAAGCAGTCAGTCTGCACTGAAGAGATGATGTTATAACTCAGAAGCGTCTTTTTCTTTTTACGTTTCAGTGACTTTGACCCATCTCAGCGCTGCGTGGAGTGCCTGAAATCGGTTCAAGAGCTTGACAGCCATTTCCCTACGCTGGTTCACTGCTCCTTCTGCAAGTTCACCACATGTTGCTCCAACTCCTACGCCAACCACATGATCAAGTATGTGTGCTGTAGAGTTCCTCCTTCAGATGACGGATAATAGACCGCTTTACGAAGATTTTGTGATCACAACGAAATCTTTAAGGCAGCTTCTTTGCTGCAAACTTTCTTAAGAATAAGTCACTTTTCTACAAGTATTCACACACTTTTAACAAGGAGAGAAATGTATTAAAGGCATTTTAACTTCTCAGATCCACACAGGAGCAATTGCTCTAGGTCTTCCATATTCTTTTATAGGTTTTGTGATTAAAAATTACAGCTATGTCCCCATATCTTTATAATCACCTCAGATTGAAAATTAAATAGTACTTAAAATCTTCTGATTAGAACAAGATTTAAGAAACTGAATATTTTCTTTTCAGTAAATGAATGATAGGATAGAGGGCTGTTAATTAAATCATTTCTAAAGAAGGGAGACGGACAGCAAAAAAAAAAAGCATAAGGAACCTTTGAAATTTCTATCTTAAATGCAGCTAAGAAGACCGTTTGAAGCCTAAATGGTGGAAAAGTTTGGCTTAAACATTGTTTTTCTCATTTTATAGACTTATAGTAGACCAAATTGATTCTTTCCATAAGGATCTAGCTTAGACTTATTATCAGGTTTGTCATATTTAGTTAAACCTTGTTTGATAATATCTTTTTTTCCAGTAATCACACCATATGGAAAGAACCTCCGTTTCCAACCGTCTTCCAGTGGAACACAAGGTGAGCAAAGAGAATCTGATGAGAATAAAAAGTCTTAAATTGAGCTGATGGTGCAGTTTATCTGAAATCCCCTTTTTGTTTTTTTTTCAGGATGCCAGAAGTTCTTAGATGTGATTCGTGTCCATTTTCCACTTTCAAAGGGGATATAATGGCCAATCACATTACAGCGAGACCAGATCACGTCTGTGTCATGGTAACAGATAAAGGTATGACACAAACACAGTTTAGATTTTTCTGCACCAGTCGTCTCTGTCTAGTTTGAATAAATTTCACTTTGTTTACGACCGGTCTCCGCCAAGTGACGTCAATTGTTTACCTCGGGCGCAGTACACTACGCCTTTTCCACCTAAAATGGCGTCTTAGCAACAAATGTCACGTGACTGGCAGAGACCGATTTTCCTAAATCCGCCCCTGTTTTCAGGCTTATGTTAACTGTAATGACTTATCTTGGACAGGCTGCTATGTAAACGGGCCTTTAGTCCTTCGTTTAGCTTTGCTGCGGTTGTTTACACTACGCCTTTTCCACCTAAAATGGCGTCTTAGCAACTAATGTCACCTTACTGGCAGAGACCGATACATTTCCTACTGTGGGAGTTAGCTGATAGTAGCTGTTAAAAAGTTAGAAGAGTTTCAGGGTTAAAGGTGAAAGAAGCACAGCTGGATCATTAAGGAGGCCTGTCACTACCAGATCCATCCCGGAAGCTCGATCCGTACCATCAGCTCATTTGCACATGCGCAAGCAGAATTGCATCGGGGGTTTCCATAAATAATGGTACAAAAATTACTTATTTCTATCCGTATATCATTAAAAAATGCTAATACACGTCTTTAAAAAAATGTGTTATGACTTTTCTGATGCTTTTTACATTTTCTCTTTTAAACTGCTTCTCTGACGTCATCATTGAACAACTTCAGAGCAGTCTCAGGGTTCCCTTAAAAAGTCTTAAAAGGCATTGAATTCTTCAAAATAAAACTAAGGCCTTAATTGGTATAAAAATGTCTTAAATTAGTCTTTCGTAGGTCTTAATTTTTAAAACGTCATAAATAGGATTATTTTTATTACGATTTATTTTTGTAATCTAAATAAAATGTTGAAATTGGCCTGTTTTTTTTTCTAAATAAAAAAAAATAACGGCTCACCATTATTGGTTCTGTCCCGATAGCGGAACCAATAAAAGCGTTGTTGCGGCCGGGGCATTTGGGAGATGCGGCATTAACTTTTTGTCTGGAAAATATGAGTGTATTTTTGGAAGAAGTCATTCAAGCTCGGAACGATGGGAATTAACCCAGTGGAGTCGCACATGCGAAACACAAAGCGTCAAAATGGAGTTACCGAGAAACAGTCGGTATTTCTCAGTTTTGTTCCACCCTTGTCTCTGCAACGCCTCCACTTATCACCAAATCAAACATACTGAGAAAACAATACAAAGAAAAATAGCTGCAAAAAAGACTTAGCACTGATTATGTTGTGGCTTTAAAACTGATTTGTTTTGTTCCCTGCTAAAACAAAGTTTGTGAATTCAGTTAAATAATTGTTAAAATATATCTGTCATTTGTGTGTTTTTAGCTTTCTTCCTGTATGGGAAGCTTTTCAAAATTTGAAACATTAATGCAGTGGTTTATGTTACAGTAAACCTTTGGGTTAAGTTGTCGCAAGCAGGTTTTTCTTGTGTTTCTTGTGAATATGGTCTTACATTTTTATTTCAAGTGGCATTAAAAAGTCTTGAATTTAACTTGCCTTATGCTGTAGGAACCCTGAGTCTGGAAAAATATGATTAAACCATGTTTATGTGCATTTTAGTTATTTATTTCTTCAGGTTATGAAATGTATACAATAATGTTAACAGAAAAGGAAAACATAAAACTCAAAAAGACTAGATTTATGTTTAAATCCAAAGCCGAAAAAGTGAACTCCCGGAAGTATCATAGGTTCCCATTTCCGGTGCAGATTGGGCACAGATGAGTAACGAAACAGAAAGGATTTTAAGGCATTTATTTTCTCATTTATTAACCTTTAACAAATTATAGTTTAGTACACTTACTATTTACATGGTGGGAAAAACTTTACAACTTTTTACAAAATAAAAACAAGTTCGACCCGAATCTATATCTGGTTGCTCAAATGAGCTGATGGTACGGATTGTGCTACCGGGACGGATCGGGTAATGACAAGGCTGGCTGTAATAAAGATGAACCCATCTACATAAAAGTTGTTTTACCAGGTCCAAGCAATCTAAAGTTGGTGAGTGCAGAATAAAGTTGATCACATCATATTTTCTCAGTTAACTTATTTCTGAGATGTCAGAAGAAGGAACAAACCAGATAATCTACATACAAAGAAATCAACGTATCCAGACCCCCACCATCCCTGTTTAACCTAGGAGGCTTCAGTGTATTTAATGTAGGAAATGGATAGCTGGGTGCACTGTTTTAAAGAAACACGACGAATAAACAGCACATGATAAATATAGAATTTGAAATATATTTTGAAATCGTAGATGAAAAAAATTAACATGGTTGATACGGATAAAAAATGTTGCATCGGTTAATTAGATATCCAAAATGACTGAATAAAGGTCAGAAAACAGCTAAATGAAATAATATATAGACTTTACACGACCATTCATGTACCTATTAAACCTCATGCATAGATGTATTGCTTCAACAAATTATATTTTTGTTTATTTGGTTGTTTATCATTAAGTCCTGCTGCTAACCACTCTTAGCAGCACGAATTAGCATTTAGCATAATCAACAAATTATGAACTCTGCCTTATGTTGCTTTTAGGAACAAAGAAATTCAGTTAATTTACCCAGACATCTGAGAGATTATAGTCAGCTGTCAGCACCATTCTGCCTGAGTGTCCTTTTAAAAAAAGATCAGTTTACATCAGATTCTGAAGGTGTCATTAATAATTTGTCCTTTTATTTTTTGCTGCTAGAAAATAAAAGAATTGATTACCTAGCTCATTTAAATACACTGACATTCATGCAGTGCTTTGATGGACCTTTTTTTGGTTGATGTGGGGGTGAAGTGGGCCCTATCGGGTCGCGCCTTAAAGGCAGACTTTGAGGAAGAGGTGTGATCTATAAAATTGCCTTTGTTTGTGTATCTACATGAAATGTTATCAAATATTTGGTGTATGAACACTTTTAGTATGGATTCCACACTGTTCTATAAATGAAGCCCATGATTTTTAATCACTTGCTGTAAATTATATGACCACCAGATGGCGCCATCTTCGTAGTTTTAATGAAACAGAATCTCAACATTTTTTCTTTTTCTTCAGAGGAAACTTTGAATCAGGACAAGATTCTCAAAAATGAGTGGTAAACACACCTCAACACACTCAAGTCACACCTCACAATTACACATTATATGGAAATCAGTTAAAATTAAAATAATGACATTTTTCATTGAATCAGTCATGTGTATGAAACTTTTATTTTATTTGGATTTATTTCATTTATTTTGTGAGAAGAATGCTGTAGTTCAAATCATAACAGTTTAAAAGTTGTTAAAAGTTAGTTTCAGTTTTAACTCAGAGGCACCGATAAGAACCACACGTTCTGAACGTCTTGATCCTACAGGCAAAAATTCTGCCTAATGTTTACACTCAGTTTCAAACAGAAAATGTATTTTTTCTTCTTCTTTGAATCGTATTCCTGTTTCAGCTCCCCGGTCAGGCAGAACCTAAGCAATGCTAATGGAGTCTTCGTCCCGATTCAACTCGTTCCACATGTTCAGCCGTCCCCTCAGCTGTCAGTCAAAGCCCTGAGCGCCGCTTTCTCTCCTCCCTTCACACCAGCCATGACCATCCAGATAACGGGGGTGGGAAAGGTGAGATGATGTGGAGCTGTGATTAAACGTGAGAGGATGATGATGATCCTTGAATATAAACTGTTATTCCTCCACAGCAAAGGGTCAGTCCTCTGACCCACGATCAGCTCGTCATCGTCCTCTCCTCTTTGTGTCACGGCATTGCTGAGACGGCTCGGCGCACCAAGGTGTCTCCCGCCACCATCCGGTTCTGGATCGCCTTGCAGCAGCGCGGCCTGGCGCAGACAAGATGGAGCTGGAAAACAGACAAGATGGCGGAGTGGGTCCTGAATCGCAGAGAGCAGCAGCTGAGCGTGACGGAAACCGTCCTGCTGCTGACGGCCAGGTCCACTCTGGGCGAGAGCACTCGGGTGGAGGAGTGCTACAGCTGGACGATAGACTTCATGCTGAGGCACGACCTGGGGCTGCAGACCACCAACAACAACAAGCTGAGGAGCATCCAGGAGGAGAGCCGCAGCTTCATTCTGTCCATCTACACACAGGTCAGTCAGGTAGAAGATCTGGATGTTCATCTGAAGTTTATTTTTAAGGGAAATTTTAAAATGCATCATGTTGTCTGATGTTTTTTTTCCCTCTTATTTTAGATTCAAAGAGGAGTCCTGCCTCTTCACTGCTGGGGCTGCATGGACGAGCTTCCCATCTTCATCAACTTGGACCTGTTCTCCAAACAGGACCCCTCTGCCTTCCAGCTGTTTGGGGCGCCTGAGGACAAACCCATCTACGACATCGTCCTATCTGCCCTGTCGGACGGCAGCCTCCTGCCCCCTCTGTTGTTCTTCACAGGAACTGCATCGAGCATCCCGGATGGGTTTCCTGACAACGTGCTGCTGGAAGCCCGAGAGGAAGGATTCACAGAGGAGGAGCGTCTGAAAATCTGGATTGACAAGGTCAGGAAGAACTGATTTACACTTTGAATATCAGACTTAAAAACTGCATAAAAAAAAGATGTAGTTGTTTCCCCATTTGTCTCCTTCTCTTCCTGTCTGTCCATCAGTCTGTCTGTCCCCCCTTTACAAGTGTTTTGTGTTTTAAATGATCCCTGAATAAACAGAGAAACCAAGATGTCCGTAATATGGAAAAGTCTTTGTTTTTAAAAAGAAATCGTGTTGGAACTCAATGTGTGACGCTGTCCTTCTCCCCCGTCGCTACAGGTGTGGCGGCCATGCGTGACTTCCAAACAAAACGATGACTCTTTCTTAATGATGGACGTCCACCGAGGTCACCTCAGCCAAGCGTTCAGAGAGAATCTGTCCGCCTGCAACACTGACATCGCCTTCATCCCCGCAGGGTGCAGCTGTCGGCTGCAGCCGCTCGAAATCTGTGTGACACAGGTGCTGCGGGATTTTCTGCAGGTACGCAGAAGAGGCTTTCCCACACCTGTTCCCTTAATCATAATAACTAATGAGATGATCTGATTGCTGGTTCCTGCACTTCCAGGCCAGATGGTGTCAGCTGGTCTCTGATGGAGGACTCGATGGTCTAGGCTTAGATCAGCTGGCTCTGACTATTGCTTGTTGGCTCAGTGAAGTTTCCTCCACTCTGAACTCGCAGATGGAGATCCTGCGGAGGTGAGAACTTTTCAGTTATTACAGTTATTTAAAAGAGGAGCTGAGAACACAAGGGTTCATTTCCTTACATTACTGGTCTTTATTTGGATTCAGAAAAAAATGACAAACTGATGCCCAAACTGGATGTGGAAGTTTTTCCCCCCATAATTATCTAAAAAGTGTGGCATGCATTTATATGTATTATGTCCTCTTTACTCTGGTTCCCCTAAATTAAATCCAGTGCTTTCATATGTCGTCTAATCAGTGAACAGCGCCGCCCCTGTGGGATTTAATCTCAGTATAAACCCAGCTGTTACACAAAGGAATTAGAGGTTTGTCAGAAAACAAAAAGTACCACAAACACCCAGAAGGAAACCTGGTGGAGGCTGTGAAAGCTATGGTGGTGTGTTTGGATCAAAACAAACCAATCACAGGTTAGAACGTCCTAGCCAAAAGCCAGATGAGGTCCCGAATAAGGGAAGCTTTGTGTTGATTTGAGAGAGATGCGTGCAAATGTACGCCACACTTTTTAGATCTATATATGCTAAAAGGTTTTTAAACTAACCTTGTTTTAATTTACAAATTTAAATATATTAAATGGTAATTTTTTTGCATGATGTAATCAAACCCAAACAGGTATGAATACACATGCAAAGTACCGATTTGCTCCTTTGGGTCAATCCACATGGTTCTCACCTGTTAACATGGTGGGTCGTGTGATTTCCTGATCTCTCCTTTAGGTCGTTCACATTAGCATGCAGCCTGCAGTACCTGGAGAATCGAGGAGAGGCAGCCAGGTTGATCAGAGCTCTGACAGACGCTCTGTCCCAGCCCCCAGGGTCTGGGTCACAAGGACATTTACCAGCACCACAGACTGAAAGGAGACTGCTGTTACTGGTGATGCAGGGGAAGAAAAACGGTGGGAATGTAGAGGAGAACTTCAAAGGCACACTGATGGAGGTCTGCAGCCCATCAGCTCTGCGTCAGGTGTTTAACAGCGAAAGCGATGGCGAGTCGTTCCATGGTTTCACTGACGTCTGAGGCCTTAGTCCTGAGACTCTATTAGATAATACTGAGTATGAGCATGCAAACAATTTGGCTTTAATGCAAAAAATGATTAAGATGTTTCATTCAAAGCAAATAGTCCAGAAATGGCTGACTGGAATAGATAATAGTCTGATATGAGATAAAGGCATGAATAACTCCCCTGTTACAGGGCTTAATTTGTCTTGTTATATCGATAAAGAAATATAAAGTTACCAGAATAATAAAAAACATATTGACCAGTTTAGACATAATTCTACTGTAAACTGAAGATTGTATGTTTTATAAAGGAATATATATAAAAGAAAAACAGTCAGAGCTGATCTTCTAACATCAACTAAGCCCGGTTTGTTTATCTCTCCTTCATAATTAAACCTTTAACAGCCTCCGTTCAACAAATAGAGCTTTTTATGTATGTTAAGGCTTCAGATATAGATATTGATCTATAAGCTTCTGGTGGAAAAGTGAGTGTATAAATAAGAAATATGTAAAGGTTGTTTCCCACTGCTGTCTGTAAATTAACTCTATTTTTTGGTACTTTTTTCAGGAATTCTGTAATTTTTGTAGTATAATAAAACAAATGTTCCCTCTGACTAATGATTTCATGAATTATTTAATACAATAAAAATGTCTTTAAACTTCTGATAAGTTTTTTTTAACTAACAAGGAGTTCGAAAAAAAAAAGTAACTGGATTTTTTTTGGGGGGGGAAGATTAATTCCATTTAAATCTAAATGTTTAAAACTGAAGCGGTCAAGAGTAGATCCAGTATCCACCGTCCCTGATGACGCTTAAATATAGCACCATGAGAACAGAACACATTTCCCAGCATGTCCACCAACACCAGCTACAACCATCCCCACCCCCCAAGGACGACTGACCAGCGGGGGGATGCAGGATGGGAAGGATTTCACGACCTTGACTGTCCTTTCTTTAAATTTAGATGTAGGACGAAAAGCAGGCTTTGTAAATCCCACTTGGGCCGAATCCCTGGTTCCAACAACTTACTTCACATTGTAAAAAACAGAATGTACAGCACTGCCTAAGTTTGAAAAATTCCTTATTTCTTCCCCAGGATCCAAACATTCAACTAATATCTAAAATGGTTCTGATCAATAGTTCCTAATAAATTTTTTGTATGGATATTGGAGGGTATCATGGGTTGTTTTTTAACCATATTTTTAAAATGGTAGTTATTACACCCTACTACGTATTTAGGCATAGGGACTAAAAACTGGCTTTATTCCACAGATGAGAAGCACTTGAAAGGAAACAAGCCAAGTACATTGTTTAAACCTGAGAGATGCTTAACTTCATTTAATCACCACCTTGCAGATTTCAGCTAATTTAGGCTCATCTTTAATAATTAGAATATAACTGAAAAGTAAAAGATTAATCTCATGTAGATTGGTGTGTTTGTTTTGTTCATTCTGTTCATTCAATTCAGTTTATATAGCTCCAATTCACAACACGTCATCTCAAGGTTCACCAGATCATAAAGTCAGCTTGATTCAAAGTTTTCTATCTAAGGAAAACCAGTTGATTGCATTGACTCAAATGCATGCTTGTAGCAACAGTGGAAAGGAAAAACTCCCTTTTAACAAGAAGAAACCTCCAGCAGAACCAGGCTCAGTGTGAGCAGCCATCTATCGAGGCCGACTGGGGTTCAAGGAGACTGAAGCAGACATACAAATTCAGTTTCTCAGAAAATTTGAATAATAAAATGGGATTTTTTTCACATAAATATAAGCCTTCGGATATGAACATCCATGTATTACATCATTATATCCATATAGAAATGCTTATTTGTGTCCTGGCATAGTCCAGTAGTTGTGAATCTCCAAAAAACTTTTAAATATTTTTTCTTCTCTATTTTTTTTTTTTTTTTCAAGGATGTAGCTATCCCTGTTATTTTTTTCATTGATTAAAGCCATTTTTATGCAGGAGCACCAACATGGACCGTGGACAGAATGCTGGGAAACATTTCTCCCCTCACTATCCTTTGCACGGCAGAGACAAACTGCAGAGAAACACTCAGCCTTACTTGTTGAATTACAGTATTAAACCATAAATTCATATTTTTCTGCTTGTAATGATCACGTGCATTTGCGTTTTAATTGATCAGGATTTCAGCATTTATTGTCATTTAAGGGAAACAAAAATGTTAAGAGGTCAACAGGGATATTCTGACCTCCACTGGCACATCTGCAGAGAATGTGTATTTATCTCAAGACCCATTAGCATTCATTAGCATCTGTTAGCCTCCCTCTGAGCAGCATTTGCATGGTAAACCGTAAACCAGCATGCAGTCTGTGGTTAAAGGTGTCCAGCGGGAGGATGTTTCAGTCAGAGCAAAGAAATCAACCATTTCAGAGTCGATTACAACACCTTTGATGTTGTGACTCACTTTCTCTTAAGCTGCTCTTCACTTGTTTACGTGTAAGCCATAATAAAAGGTCAGACGTGCAGCTTTTGTGAAGTGCTGAGCTAAATGTTCTGCAGTAGAGAGTTGCTTCATGCTCTAATCTGGTCATCACTGCTGCCTAAGTGAAGATAAGCGCCTTTTTTAATCTCTGATAATTACAGAGAAAATGTCTTCAAAACTGATCTTATATTAATCTTAGACTAAAACACTGGGGTTTTTTCAGTGCAGCTGTGTCATCTGAGCAAAGCTCTCTACGCTGTGTGTGACAAATAAGAGATCAGTCTTTAATCTGATTTAATCCAGCTCTCATTCCAGATTAAGGTCTGAACCGTTTTGAGCTGGTAGCCAACTTTAGAGGGAGAGCAAGCAAGGGACGGTTCCAAGCAGAAACTGAATGGCATTCTGACTTAGGACCATATTATCAGAATAGAATAGAATAGAATTCAACTTTTTGTCATTCCACTGTCACAAGTACAGAGCAACGAAATTAATTCTCTGCATTTAACCCATCCCCTTGGGGAGCAGTGGGCTGCCATTGTGAGGCGCCCGGGGAGCAGTGTGGGGTTAAGGGTCTTGCTCAGGGACCCAGAGTGGCAGTCTGTGGGAGTGCCTCAGGATTCAAAGCCCAATGGCCTAACCACTAGGCCGCCACTCCCCATAATTAATTATCCCACGGGCGGCTCCAGTTCCTGAGAGTCTGTGAAGTTTTAGATTGGTCCTTGGTCAAACACACCTGAATCAAACGTTTTGGATTAGTGGAGCTGCAGAACTAAACCGCTGGGTGGTTGAAACATTTAAAACAACATTTGAATTGAGAAAGCTTCCTGGAGAGGTGGCGAAACGTCTTCAAATCTTGAAAACCAAGTCCAGTGGATATTTTTTGAATTTTTACGGAATGACCTGAATCAAACGACTGAATTACCTCCTCATCATGCAGTCAATTTCGAGTCCTTTTAATAATCTAATTATGTAATTCAGGTATGTTGGACTGAGGTCACAGGATACCGCCCCCCAGGAAGTGGAACCACCCACCCCTGATAACAACTGATAATAGACACATTTGACTCCAGATGTATTTAGTGAAACATAGAAGTTACTTCCATGTAACAGATGACAAGTAATTTTACATCAGAGACCATTAAAATCAGATCTGGTGTTCCACAAGGGTCCATTTTAAGGCCCCTCCTATTTAATATCTACATGCTCCTTTTAACACAGATATTATTTAACAACAACAAAAGCTATCATAACTACGAATGCCTGCTGCTAACAGCCAGGGTTTTTCAACAGCGACACATTACGAAGTCCCAAGGTCACTATGAACCCATTAAAGCTCTAGGTAAATACATAGAAGAAAAAAAACACATTGACCTGGCAACATTTTCTTCAGCTTAATCAAAACAAAACTGAAGAAATTGATTGCTAAGAGTCTGGGTGTAGTGAGGGGCTCAGACATGAGCCTTCAGAGGCTCATAAAGACTGTAACAAAGTCGGCCTTCAGTCAACTTAAGAACATCTCCAGGATTAAAGGACTAATGTTTCAGCAGGACTTTGGAAATCTAATTCATGCATTCATCTTTAGTTGTATAAAGCAATGTTGTCTTTACAAATCTAACTAAACAGTTAATCAGCAGTAGTAACAAAGCTGCTGCCTGCGTCTTCACTAAAACCAAGAAGATTGAACACGTCACCCTGGCTTTAAAATTCTTCCTTTGGCTCCCTGTATCTGAGACAATAGACTTTAAAATACTAAAATGAAATACTTCTGTCTTAAATCATTGAAGGGCTTTGCACTAAAACACATCCCAGACTTGTTTTAAATGTTTCAACCACTCAGTGGTTTAGTTCTGCAGCTCCACTAATCCAAAACAAACTCCTAGAAAACTCAGAAGGCCCCAAACTTTCTTTCAAACCAGACTAAGAACAATTTAATTTAAAGTGGCCTCTTTTTTAAACAAAATGAGTTTAAGCTTATACTCCTTTTTTAATTGTATTATTAATTGCACTGTACTTTTCCCTGCGTGTTATCCTATTATGTGCAGCACTTTGCTTCTGAAATGTGCTACATAAATAAACTTACCTGACCTTGCCAAAATCATTACTCCTCTACCTTCATTCTCAACAGTTGCTTTGTGTTTTGTGCTGATCTGTTCCTGTTTTAGTCTAAACGCTGTCTGGCCATGTGGACTTCCTCTCATACCCATGATAGTGCATTTACTATTGATCCCACATAAGATAAATAAACCAGGTGCTAGGAGCTGCAATTAAATGTATTTAGAATCAACCACTTACAAGGAGTTTGACTTGATGTTGATGGTGCAGACAAATTAGATATATATACAGAATACAGAACATATAGCTATATACAATATAAAACATACAATATACTATATACCACATATATTATATAGCTAAGTTAATACTATATACACAGTATATATGTAATGCAGGAGGTCAGGAGATGATACGTTGGTGTAGCTTCTAGGTCCTTAACAGGGGAGGGAGAGAGGCAGTGTCGGTGTCACTGGGGTCTCTATGCCTTGTTGATAAGGCTGGTAGGTGATGGGAAAGAAAGAAACTGTTCTTGTAGCATGAGGTTTTGGTCCTGATGGACCGCAGCCTCCTGCCAGATGGAAGGTGTCTGAAATAGCCTCAGAGTCCTGGAGGCATACAGATCCTAGACAGATTGAAGACTGTAGCCAATCACCTTCTCTGCAGACCGGATGACATGCTGCAGTCTGCCTTTATCCCTCGGTGCGCACCAGCGTACCAGATGCTGATAGAGGAGGTAAGGATGATAGAGGAGTAGAAGTGCACCATCATTGTCCTTGGCAGGTTGAATTCTTTCAGCTGCCGCAGGAAGTACATCCTCTGCTGGGCTTTCTTGGTGAGGGAGTTTATGTTCAGCTCCCACTTTAGGTCCTGTGAGATGATACCTCCCAGATAATAATTTCAGACAATTACTTTAACATAAAACACTTTTAAAGTTTAATTCTCAGTTGATATTTAACAGAGAATGATAATTGGTGCCACATCACCCGGTTTCCCCATGTAACATTAAATTAATCATTGGTTTTAGTGTAAACAACCACACTAAGAAGAATTTAAAGGAGCATAAAATACTGTTTGCATAACCCCCTATGTTATCTATGAGCTTGGAGTCGATTAAAGAGAACAGTGTGAACAGTATGATGTACTTTTTAAATGTTTAAAATTGAATTTCTGTCTTTTTTTAACCTTCACCTATTTTATCTAGGGAATGATTTCTTTTTATCTACTTTTTTCACCTCTGACATTTGTTTTTGATCCTCTTATCATCTTGCATTCAGCTACTTCTCCTCAAAAAGCTTCCCCCAGTTCTGACTCCCCCACAGCTCTTCCATCTTCACTTAGTCTCACAAGTCCCCCCTCCAGTAATCATCCTCCCCCTCCAGTAATCATCCTCCCAGTATTTAATCCTTGTTTTTATATCACTCTATGCTGGACTTTTTCTCTCCCTGATGTTTTTTTCTTTCAGTTTTTGTAAGTTTATTTTTTTTCTCCTAAAATGTAATCTAATACGATCCTACCTGCCTCCTGTATGTGGGTGTCTCATTTTAACGCACACTACAATACAGATGCCAATGCACAGTATTTCTCATTATCTCAAGCCTCCTATGATATTTGAGTGCCTTTATAAACATTAACATGATACCACACACTGCATACTCAGCAAAAGCAAATCCATCTAATTTGTGTGTATCTATATTTTTAATCTTAAACAAGATGAACAAATCCAGAAATGACTTCCTGAAACAAATGTTTGCATTTATAGTAATAAATGTATTAATATGTATTTGAATTTAGGCAAAAACATAGATTTAGCATTAACATTTTAGAAAGTCTCTAAAGGCTTATTGTGCATCATGTGAAGGATTTCTGCTGTTCTGCTATTAAAGAGTATAAAAATTACTTTAATAAAGCTGTTCAATAGGACCTGCCTTCTTTCTAATGAGTCATAATATTGACCTGCAGGGAGAAGCAACAAGTAGGGGAGGGGCCATATTGATTAAATGGCTGTATTGATCAAAGTTAACTCCAGCCTTTACAGCTTTCTCTTTCATAAAGCAATTTAAACAGTGAAAACGATATAAAGGAAACATTCCTCGTTAGAGGTTTGTTTCCGGGTTCACAGTCCAACAAGCCACTTGAGGCTCTAAACCCCCTGTGGCCTCCCAATCTTAACATGCTGTGGTAGATTTGGATGAAGCTTTACTGCAGGGGTCTGCAATCACTTTGGCTAAAAATTATGATAAGCAAGCTAATCTTTGGAAAAATAGATAAAATAATAAATGCTGTTTAGTGTGTTAGTAAGCATTTTCTCCACTGATTAATTGAGTAAATAATCCAAATCAAACGTACTCTAAATATAACTAAATATATATTTTTTATCAGTTTTAACTGGGAATTTTTTTTTTTTTTTTTTTACAGAATAAAAAAAAGTTTCAGCATCTCAATAATAATTTATATATTGTCCTTTTGTGAATTTTTTCCTTCATTTTAAAACCGATGACTGATCGATTCTTTTGAAAAAAGACAAATCTTTGCTCTATATTTATGAAATATAAGTTATAATTTCTTTAATAAAGGTCACTTAAACTGTTCGGGTCTAAAAGACTAATTAACTGGACTGAATATAACACGGCTCTTTGGATTGCAGACCCCTGCTTTAGACCTAAATTCACTCCAGCTAGCCTTTGTCTTGATAGGTTAGATGCCCTGTCTTTAAGTGTTGGCACCCTTTTAAAAAAAGTGTTTCACACATTGTAACCTAGCTGATGCCTGCAGACAGAAACAGGATGGAAACCCAGCAGTTGAACATGTTTTCCCACTAAGCAAACATTGAGATGTCCTTATGGTCAACACTGACATCACTAATGAGGTCACCCCATGGTGGATTTCCCTGAGAACCGAAAACACCAACCTGAGTCTATTGTTCAACATCCAGCTGTGGGTGAAGAAACAAAGAGCTTTTATTACTCGTTGAAGGACCACACAGCAGATTTTTGTGAAGGTTTTTTTTTGTTTGTTTTCTATCAGAGCTCAGACCAGCCGGATCAGTTTAATGCCTCCCTGACTCAGATGCTGCTGGTATCAGTTTGTCTGCTTGACTGAACCTGCAACGTCCCTTAAAAACGAGGCGTTGGTACACTCCTTTGTCTGTGGTGCGGCTTGCAGATTTGCTTTTTCCTGCCCCGCAAAGACAATATGTCATGAGGGGTGACAAGACCAGACAGGAAAAACTGAACGAAAAAAAAAAAGAGAAGGAATTTAGCCCCAAAGATGTTGGAAGCCAATGCTGTTCAGCTGCTTGTTCACACAGGAGCCTCTACAAGAAGAGCTTAATTACATGAATGGGAGTCAGAAATACAAAAGAAGGGTTTGTTATAGAACAGCAGGAATGTTTAGATTAAATAATAAAGGGTTTAAAAAGCAGGCTGGGAAGCTGTTAGCACTGCTGTAGTTCAGCTAAAAGGTCCCAGGTTCAAATCCCATCCTGGGATCTTTTTGCATAGTGCTTGCATTTTCTCCCAGTGCACGCTTCGGCTCCAGCTTCCTCCAACAGTCCAGAGACATTCCTATTAATCAGAGTTACTCATGTTTTTTTTTTCTGTCTATGGGTGAAGAGATGGGATTAAAATCACATTTTCTTACAGATTCTGTAATAATATTTGACCTAATTTAAGACAGAGATTATTCCTTAGAAGAAAATCTGTAAAAACCCAATCAGTCTGCAGCTTTATACATAATAAGCTGTGATACATTCTGCATCCCGACGCCTTTCTATCAGAGCCAGCGTTAGATGATTCATTGGACTGGTCCCCATTGGGCAGCCCCTATCCCCAAGTAGATATCTGAACATTCCCGGTCCATGCAACGCTTTATCCTCAGACAAACCCTGACAGCCACTGACATCAGAAGACTTGTATTCTGCGTCCATTTTTTGTTGCTACTTTAAGGAAAAAGATGTTTTCTTTCTGAATTACATATTCCATCTGCTTACAGGTCAAACTGGTTACTTTCTGCTATAGATCCAGCACCAGAAACTCACTGGTTTACACTTATTGAATGAACACCGCATGTATTATTCACCCAGTCAACATGTGCCCTGAACACAGGCCCCATTTACATTTTGTTCTACAGGTGTTGGTTGATTTGAGCAGATAAATATGTTACAGTTCTTCTCTGGGCGTTAAATATGTATCAATAAATAGATTTTAGATAGATGATTATGAGCCCATGTTAGTCAGAGCTGCCCTGCTTCTAAGTTAGACAGGAATTAATATGGGGCCACATCGCAGCCCGTGGATAGTCCCTCATGGGGGCCATTTTTCGGCATATTTCACCTCTCATGTGGGCCCCATATGTAAATACTGGCTGGGATTTTGCACCATGAGAGGTCTAAAACTATATTTCTAGCATTTCCACTTTCACCCCCACCCCCAACCTATTTTGCTCTGCTAAAAAAATCAATGTAGCTTCCTTAAAAGGGTCAGTACCTGTTTAAACCACACATCCAGTCCTTTATTACGGTGTGATGGGCTCTAAGTGCAGCTGAATATTGATCAAGGGAAGGTCGTGCAGCTGCAGCCAATTTGCATAGTCACAGACCTTTGCAGCTTAAATCCGGCAAAGGTGTAGAATTACAGCTATGCCCCCTTTTCTGGACTCATAAGAAAAATTTGAATGAAAAACTGTGATTCTTTTCTGTGGATGGGGAACATTTTTGAGCGGGACAATCATTGTTTTTTCCCCAACTCTATCTTGCACTTTCCAGCCCAAAAGGCCCTGCCTTTCTTGAATCCTTTATGTCTCTAGATCCTTAGAGCGGAGGTGGTAAACCCTTGGTTTGGATGACTCATACAGACACAATAGGCTGTTGGTAAATCCACCAGTTTGAGGTTAAACTGGGATTTTCCTTTGGCTTTGAATAAACTCAGTCTGGAACAGTTTCATTAAATTAGAACTTCAAAAAAAGGACTTTTTTAAAGAGTATTTTACTTCTTTGTTTCTGTTTTAATTTTTTTTTTTTTTTTTGTTGTTGTTGAAGGTCTCCTTTCTTCATTTTTGGCACACAAGGATTAAACTTGGCAGGAAAAAGCAGAGCAGCCCACCGCCCCCCCTCCTCTCCTCCCCTGCTGCACTCTCTCTCCTCCCCCTTTTCTCCAAACGTGATCATGTTCATTCAGAGCTCAGTCACTCAGATCATCACACCTCTCAGTCCTTTGTCTCTGCTCTCTCGTTGTCTCTCCATCCATTCATCCGTCCACCCGTCCTCCCCCTCTCTGTGTCCATCCATGTGAATGATGTCCAGTCTCAGGTTACTGACAGTCCATCTGCTTGGAGCTTCTCTGCTGCTGCTGCTGTTACTGACTGCCGGTGAGTCTTTTAACTGTCTGACTGTTGCAGCTGTTTGACTTCCTGTTCAGATGAACTTATTTCTAACTGTAATCTTGACATGTTGCACCCTGCTTCTCCTCTTTCTCCTGCTGAAACCATTGGAGGTCTTCCTCTCCATTTGCATGGTGACATAATGAATGAAAATGTAAACTTTTAAATATCCATGTTTGCAATTATCCCCGTCTGCAAAGGCTTTTTATTAAGTTTAAAGACCCCTAATCAAATCTAAATCTAAAACATAAGGGATGTTTACTAAAACATTCTCATCTAAGTAAGAGATTTAGCAAAAACATCTTAATCTGTTGATGCAAAAACAAACTGGGCAGCTTGACATGCACACAAAGTTCAAGGTTAAATATCATTCTTTGATAGACTTTTGCATGATAAAAGCTCTTCGCAGTGTTAATGCTTTTTATTTAGTTGTTAATGATGGCTACTACTTTCCCTGCTGCTGATTTTTAATCACATGGAGCCTGAGTGATGTTTCAGATTTCACACCAACATCTTAGATTAGGTGGTTGTGGGAAAATGTTGAAATGTTTGCTGTCCTCTCAGCATTTGTTTTCATTAATAATCTAATTAGTGCTTACTGTGATGTTCTCAGGGGGAAAGTAGTGATAAATATGGGTGACAAATGCAAAGGCAAAAAAGTGGGCCAGAACAAAAAAAAAAAAAAGATTTAAAAACTATAAAGATGATGAACAAAGAGGCTAAGAAATTTATCAGAGCATGTGATTGCAAAAGTTTTACTAGCAGCATAGGATAAGTTCAGTGAATATTTTAACATGCTAGTTTTTCTGGTTTTGTTTACTCATTTCCTTTTTTTTGTTTATTTTTTATTGCATCTAATGGCCAACATGAAGTTTGTCTACTTTGTGATATCACATTATTCATGGCCTAAACAAACACTTAAACTTCAAACAAACAAAGTTTAAATGTTTGTTTAGGCTGCTTTTACTTGCGCTGTCAAGGGTAGTTTTTGGTAAACAACAAACTTGTTTTCAACACAAATAAATCTGGGTTATCTACTTTGTACTATTACTCAAGTTCTCCCGGCTTTGCATCCAATGAGCTCTTTCTGCATTCACTGTAATTTATTATCATTTTAAATGATCACAGGAACATAGAAATTAGATTTTAGTCTGATATAAGTCAGGGTTATGTGAATTATAAAGCAAATATGTAAAAATCATAATGCAAAAATTTCACAAAAAACCCATAGGCGATGACAAGACTGTATTTGTGTTAGACAGCATGAAAGCAAGGAGGAACATAAGAGAGCAGATATTTTAAGTCTCCTCTAAAATTACCTTATTTCTTTACTTTTCTATTTCATGATCTTATTTCATTAATTCAACAGAAATACGATAGCAACCTGGGACAGACAGTGCTTCTTGAATGCAGCATTTCTGTAGTTCATGTAAATGCATGAGCTGCTATAGTGAGGATCCAATTTCTACTAAGCATGTAAGCATGCTAAGTACTGTAATTTAACAATATTGTCCTCATCACTATTGATACTGAATTTTTTGCTGTTAATACCTTTATATGCATTAATTGGGAAGTTGGTTTCCACTGTGTTATATCTATACGGTCCTTACAGTTCTAACAAGCAGCTAGAATGAGCTCCCCTCCTTGAGGTATGGGGGTCATGAGTTTCACAGTCTGCTTTCCCCCCAGTTTTTGTCCTAATATTTGTGTCAGCATTAAGCGATTACTGAATGTAGTTTGTATTTGTATAAATGAAAACTGAGGAGTTAAGTTTTGTACTTTATCATATAATTTTGTTCAACCTTTAAAGTTAAGGCTAGCTTGAATGCAACATCACTGCTTTTTGTACTTCGTACAAATTGCAGTGCTAACAGTGTTTTATTTAAAATTCAGCTTTAGCTGTAAAATTATGTCCTTTTGGTTTTTAAATCTGTTAATTTCTGATTCTGAATAAAATGATCAAAGTGCAAAAAGACATTCTGATTCCTTACTTGGCTTTTAAAAAGTTTGCCTTAGCATCTACATTTAGAGGATAATTCTGCATTTATTCTAACGCTATTGTATGTTTGCAAACCGTAATAAGAATTATAAGAAAACTAGGTTCAATTTTGTTTTTGTTTTTTCTGCTATCTTTAGTTAAAAGTTGGTTTCCTAATGTGTATACTATCAGCTTATCCAGTAAAAAAAAAAAAAAAAAAAGAAAAAAAAAATGTTGGCGCATCAGTCTTTCTTAGCAGTTAGCAGCACAAATGGAGATTTAGTTTTTGTCCCAACATCCTCCCTAACCCCATTTTATTACCGTCCAAATGTCTAGTGGATGAAAAAGTAGTTGATTAAAGATTTCCCACAATACACCTTTAAAAGTAGTGTGCATCCATGGTCACTATGAGCAGATGTATCCCAGAATGCTTTGCAAGGAGAGCTCTTGCAAAGCATCATGGGATGCTTCAGGAGGAGAAGGTAAAAAACAGGAAGAAAAAAAAAGATGCTGCAGGCACCATGCGGGGAGCCAGAGTCATGTGACCAACGGGGAGGAGAAAGTGGTGCTAATCTGTCTGAACGGTAAATTAACTGAGTCCGTTAAAAAATCCACTAATCCTGGCTCTATATAGCAAATGTTATATAGTAATTGAGGGTAAGGGTAGACATTCAGACACAGCGTTGGCCTTATAAGGACTTTTTGTGGGTTATTTTTGTGCCCTTTTATCGTCATAGTATTAAAATGGTTATGAAATATTCTATATTTTATGAAATGTGGGGTTATGAGAAAAAAACTAAGACCTAGATGGGCTAAAGGGATACCATTTATGTTTCTAAAAATATGAACATTAAGGTTAGATGTGATTTTTGCAGATGCTAGTTTTTGTTATCCTTTATAAAACTTTTTTTTTTTTTTTTTTTTACTATTTCTGCTTATGATACAGTTTTCATCTGCTTGTTCAAAGCTGCTGTCCAGTTTAGGTGCTATATTTTCAGTAACCACAAGGGGCTTCTCATGCTTACCTCAGTGTTGGAGTGAGTGATGCAAACATGTGGCAGACCAGAGTTGAGCAACAAAGACAACTTTGTCAGAACAACATTTCTTATCTCATATTTTCAGAAACCCGTAGCCTCATGCTTCCTCTTAATGGTAATCATCCATCAAATTGCAACGGACAAGATTCTCTGATGTTCAAATGAGGCTTAATAGGCTGCTTCCTCCCAGTTGAATCATGTGATTGACCTTTCTCCTCTGGGGCCAAATAAAATGGAATCGTCATGGTTACGGGTATCAGATTTGACCGTTTAGGACAGATATGTACAGCTGCCTATGGTGCCTTAATCCCACAGTCTGTAACGTCTGCTTTTTACCAGAGCAGAGAGATCCAACGGTCCTTAAAGCACGCACCAGTTTGAGTTTCATTTAATTCCTCTCAAGCTGAACATGTTTTACTCTGAATGTGTGGGTGTCAGTGAGTTTAAGTTGTGCAGCTGGTTTTTGTAAAGTTTCTCTCAAGATCATGTGACTTTGCCAATGAGTATCCTACCCCTCACTGCAGACCGCCTCAGGATTTTATTTTTCTAACTTCCTGTCACCTCCTTCCCCCCTTTCCCTCTCTTCTAAATTCATTCTCAATTTGTTTTTTCTTTCTCCATCTTCCATCCTCTCCTTGCTTCATTTACGGCTTCCTATCTGCCACCCGTTCTTGTTTTGTGACCTTTCCTTTTTTCTGACATCCTTTCTTTCCTCCTCTGCTTTCTGTATTTCAACTGATTCTTTTTCCTTCATGTTTTATGCAGTTTTTTTTTTCAATTCCCAAAGTGGACTCACCCATGCCTTGCCTGGTTGACTGACAGCTGATATTATACGGTGTGGGTTTTTATTTATTTTTTTTGTGTGTCAGCTGGTTTTCATTTCCTCTGCACTGATGAAGCTGTGTGATTGGCAGTCGGTCAAAGATGACACACTTCCTTTTTAATCACTATTAGCAGCCCATCAGTCATATGTGTGTTTTGATATCCCAGTGGGGACTTTAAAACAACCAAACACAACCCCCTTTGCCCGGTCAGACTGGGTTTTTCGAACAGGGGTTTGAAGAATTGCGCATGTATGTGATGGTTGGTTCAGTCGAGTCTTTGAGACAAAAGAGCCTTACAGAAACAATAAAGGGATGGGCTCTAAAATTCAGACCACCTGCTGATCAAAAACACCAACAAACCCACCATGAGTCCAATGACGATCCAAAATATCCTCTGCTAGATCGCTGTCTAATCACAAACACCTTAACACACTGTTGTTTAAAGCTCATTGTTTCAGTTGTGCATATTTTTGTCAAATTGTGCTTTTAATTCCTTATAAAAATGGGAGGTAGTAAATGTTGGCCAGCAGCACATCAGATCCGATTTGACGGATTAAAGATGGCAGATTATAAAGGTAAAGTAAAAAAATAAAACAAATATAGTGAGTGGTGTAACATTTGCCCTAAAAATGAATGAATATAATGTATATTTAACTTTCTTGTTTAAGAAAAGGTGGTTTTACTGGTCATTTAGAATCCTGGGAATTTGTGTGTTCTGTTATCTGGGGAACCATAGCCAAAATATCTCTTCTCTAAAGGTTTGCTTGGTTTAGCCTTGGTGGGGGGGTTAAGGTGAGCAGCTCAGATTGTTTCGGGAAAACTTCAGATTACAAGTGCTGCTAAACCAAAATAGAAAAGAACAGGCCAAGGTAATTTGGGCATCTGGTGGGGATGCCTTCCAGATGTCCTCCACAGGAGGAGGCCTGGAGTTAGAGCCAGGATTCACGGGAGAGATCATATCTCACGGCTGGCTTGGGAACGTAAAAAGCACCCCCAACCCACCCCCCTCAACTGAGCTGGGATCAATGCTCAGATTGTTACCCCCCTTTGTCCCAAACAGAGATAAAGGTGAGATGATGGATGAGTGGATGGATGCTCCCTCTGAGAGCACTGGAGGAGAGGTGGGGAAATTCCTGCCTGATGTAGATG